CTGACACCTAAGAAAGAGGAGTATTTTATCAGGGAGAAGATTCGCCAGTAACAGTGAAACTGTGAAGAACCCTCGAAGTGGCCAGATTTCTTCGCTTGATCCGCTTCGTACGTTAAGGCCCTAAAAGTGTTAAAGTCGAAAATTTGAAGCCAAAAAGGTAATGGAAATTAAGGTGGCGGAAATTAGCGCTCCACCTAATTAACAGCGCGGACATTAACAATTGAAAAAGTTAACACAACTTAAAATAACGCAAATTTTTGAAATTTGCGTTAATTTCATAAGGCGTGAAATTATAATTATAATTTCCTATAACAATGGCAACGTCTATTGATAGCGGCAAACACCTTCCCGGCCACCTAAGCGGATTGCCTCACCTACCTGGGGTCCCCCACCTCCATGTAAACAGGCCCTAAATAACCTGTTTTTTCTTTTTGTTCTCAGTTTTTGTTAATTTTGAGAAGCTTACATTAACTAGTTAATTTTTAATTGATTAAATACTCACCCACTTCAGACATCGCCTCAATAGAACGCTGGGCGTTTCCTGCAATGCATTTATAAGAGCCAGCATCATTCAGCTTCAAATTCCGAAGTAGCAACGTGCCATTAAAATATAGAACGTGGTTTTGAGGTAGACTTTGCCCCATTCTTTTCCAAATGGTTCCTGTTGAACCTTGAGCTTTACAGTTTAACATCAAATCGCTTGATGTTTCCGCATTAACTTTCAGGGGAGGGGTAATAGTGAATTTAAGCTTGTCAGTCACCATTAGTATGGCGACAGCAGTTTCCTGACGCAGGAGATTCTTTGCTGAGTATTCGTAAGCCCCGCTATCTGTTTTAGCCACACCCACTATGGTCAGATTCCCATCAACCACTCTTGTCTTCCCTTTGGGCAAGTGATTCAATGCTCTTCGCCACGTGATTTTGGGAGTCGGCCGACCACCAGCTTTACACTGTAGGATCGCGTTTTGCCCTTCTTCGACGATGATAGAGAAGGGTTTATGAGTGATCTTGGCACCAACTGGAAAAAAGAAGAGGGATATTGTAATTCGAGTTGAGTTGACGCCAGATATGTGCCCTATCTCGAGTTAGGATCTGAATTATTCAAGCTCGGCAGTTCATTTGATTTTCTTTTGATAAAATGAATGCCCTTAAGATTTTTTTTGACTAAAAACACGTTTAAAAAACGCCCTAAATGAGGAAACTTTAGTGTCGTTGGTGATGTACAAACTTGAACTGAACCAGGTTTTGTAAGTTGTCTCCATAAAACTGCAACCTTCATCAATTCTGATGTCCTCCCTAAATACTTAGTCTAACAGTAGAGATCTTTCAGGGGTATTGGTGTTTAAATGATACTACAAAAAACCAGTTAATGAGACAAGCTGTTTTGCGCAATAAATTTTCGCCCTTTAAAAATAGTCTTCAACAAGTTCGAAACAAAAATCAATAGGGTTGACAAGTTTGGTTGAAACTGAACACACAAAACGACTTGAGCAAGCAGTCCCGTAATACAGATTCAGAATTGAATTTTAAATTGGGCTTCTTCATATGCAATACTCTATAGCACTGGCCTTTGTTGGCCTGATTACATTCACTTAAAAGCGTGCTTGCCAAGAAAAGGATAAAGAAATATAACGTTGTGTGAGCCGCACTTCAGGGGCACCCAACGAGAATATAGTTCAAAACCACTTAAACATAGCATTGTTAAACGTATTTTAGTATTTAAACGTTAGATATAGGTATATTTTTATCCCCTAAAAATTTTTCATCTGTTCCTAGCTGAAAGTCTAGTAATCCGAAAATCATAGGGATCAAAACTTACCTTTCCGAAAATTACAGCCAGAAAAAAGGCTTCTGAAAATTCTACGCGGCCTTTCATGGGTAAAAATCCGTTAAAAATGGGAAATTACACCATTTTTTAGATGTTCGAAAATCCTAGGAAAGGCAGGCAAGCAAGAAATTTTACAACAAATGCTCCGAAAATTCTAGATCTCAAATCGTCCTCCGAACAGATATTTTCCGAAAATTGTCGTTGCATGGGGCGCTCCTGGCACTTGCAGAGACAGTATGTAAGCAATTTATTACGTTAAAATATTTCAAAAAATTTGAATGCATTTATTTACACAACGAAGAATTAAGCCAGCTTTTTTTGTTGCCGACCTGCGCTCTATTTGTTGAGATGCTTTTGCCAGAAGTCAACGTATTTACTTGTAATAAACTAATTTTTAGCATCATTCTAACCTTTGATAACACGCACATATATACGACAAGCTCATAAATAATTGAATTAAGACAAGTTAAAGCTAAGTAGGCTTTTTTATGTACCTTGCACAGTTAACGCTGCGGATGATGTAATAACTCCAAGTATATTTCTTGCCTTACAAGTGTAGAGTCCGCCATCTTGCGACGTCACATCTCTAATAATTAATCCACCACGTGATTTGACGATTCGTTTATCGGAGAGAAGACTGAAGTTTTGTTTCAGCCACGTGACCTGTGGTTGTGGATTTCCTTTAACCTCACACTGCAATGTGGCTATACCAGTTTCGTTAACAACCATAGGCACTGGAGGTGACACAATAGAAGGAGCTGAGATGGATTCACCAGGATCGCCCTTGGGTCCTTGAGGGCCCTGATCGCCTTTAGGTCCAGGAGGCCCCTGATCTCCTTGAGTACCTTTGTTTCCTTTAGGTCCTTGGGGTCCACGCGGTCCGGGAGGACCATGCTTGCCTGGGCACCAGGCCTTCCTCGTCTTCCCCTTATTCCTCTCGGACAGTTTACCTTACAGGCCAGGCTACTCAGGGCCAGCTGGACTTCTCTTTTGATGTCGTCACGACTGACAATTAGACTTGTGTTTGATTTCTTGCTTTTACTTTTTGAGCTGCGTTTGTAGCGACCGTGTGTTTCTGCAATTAAATCATAAACACAATTGGTGATAAAACCAAATTTTAGAAAATTCTGGCCTTCTTCTCTTGTGAGTTAAAATATCACTCCATATATTTTGCAGGTTTTATCCCTGTTTCTTCAGTTGAAGCATCTCTGTGGCTCTCTTTGTTATATGTGTATTACTGTATTGCTATTTTCAAATACATGTCAATCCTGCGAATATCATTACGCGTGTCCATTCTCTCTTTTTTAATCAATAACTAATGGTTTGTAAAGAATTTTGGTTACAGTAACGGATATTTTGACTCCATCTCGGCTTTCGACCTGTAGCAGGGCAGAAGATATCCTTATTCTTTCAGACAAAGGGAGGTTTTTCTGTACAAAACTACCACGTGTTGCGGCTACATAGTTTGCTACCATACAGGACGTAATGTTACACATCTGTTGTTGTCGCGACGACGTGTTGACGGAAGAAAAGAAGAGAAAAAGGAGGTTTTCAAATAAATACCATGATGTCCTACATCATACAGCGCATGCCCTATCAGGGATGCTATCGTATTTGGACTTTCGTTCGGACAGGCGAAAAATGATCCATTACACTACCTCTGGACTCATATTTTTCATTCAAGTAGAGAAAAAAATCTCCGTTTTCTAAAATATCATGATACGTGTAGACGAGTCTCTCGCTCGTATGAGGAAATATACCATACCCTGTGACCTCATGTAGCCGAACGGCTTTGTCATCTCTTCTTTCACTTCCTGTGAGCAGTTTAGCTAAAGAGGAAATTTTCACTATAGCACGTACTACCGCCACATCTGAAACGAAACTTCCGTCTCGATAATGTAATATTAAACACCTAACTTTTTGCGTATATTGAAATAGAAAGAAGCAACATGCGTTGCATATTTCGCCCTCTACAAACTAGCCTACTCTCAAAATGCTAATATATACTTAATATCGTAGTACGAGATAGTCATGAATTAAAGAAATAAGGAGCCCATTTGCCATTTTTTTTATGCCTTATTCTCGTCAAAAATAAAAAAAACATGTTAAAGTTTGTATGTACACAGTTTTATATGACCGTTCAAGTATAGTTTCACATTAATTATATAAGATGCCGCTGCTCTGATTTTTGTCCAATATTTATAACTAAACCCATTGCGGAATTAAGTGCACATAGGCTGTTTTATTCCTGAAGTAAAAGTTTGCCTTTGCGGTGTTGTTCAGTTCTACTTTTCACCTTTGTAAATTCAGTATACATGTTATCTTGTTTAAGTGGGGATTCATACAACAACCAACGTAAGAAAACTGGCACTCACCTTTACTCGAGTAGCCGTGTGGCGGGAAAGCAATCAGCTCGTTACTTCCAGTTTGGCTTGGCGCAACATTTCCTTCTTTGTCGTAAGTCAGGATTTGAAGCATTTTTCGATGAGCGTGAAGCTCGACCTCAACCTGAACCAGTGCCATGAAACAAACAATGGAGAGAACTGTTGACGAAAAGACTAGAGTGTTGGAGACCGAACGCGTCTTTGACATCTCCATCACTCAGCTTTAGAGCGTTGGTATTTAAAACCAAACGAATGATAAACTTAAAGCAACTGGAAGACTGTTTACTCGACTTTTGCAATTCTTGAGTCTCATACCTCCAGTGGTTATGCTTTTCTGTCGACGTGTCCCGTATAACGATATCATTAATAACCTTCAACTCTCAGAAACCTGACCTCCGTTTTTGCCGAACATTTCCTCTTTTCCTGGCTGTCATCCAAAGTTTATATTAATTAGGCCTGAAAGTTGAGGAGAGCTATTAAGTAGCCTGAAACTCTGTAGTCTTTAGACTATACTAATAATTGCAAAGTAGGGAAGTGCGTTAGACAGGGAGGAATGATAAGGCAAGGGGAGGCCGGCCAGGAGACGTGAGAGCCTGACCAACGTTCAGGGTCTTAAATTAACTGTGAGCATAAATTACTGTACATGCCATTGTTCGCACATTAACAAGTGGTTGAACAATTACGCTTTCTTCCAAAAGGGTGAAAAGCTGTGGGCTCTGGTCCGTTTCACCGGTCTTTAACTGTTCTGATTCTTGTGGAACGTGAAAGAAGCCACATTACTGTTTAAGAAAAATTGGGGACTTGGACCCCGTTAGTGCGTATATGTTCTGTGGAAGGTCTCCACCAGCTTTTAGACTGCCTTATGTTACCTGAACTCTGATTTCAAGGTAACGACATTTCAGACAATCTCATAAAGCATAGTTTCTCAAAAAGCAGCGATGCTTTAAGTGTCGATGTGAAATCTCCCACTTAAAGGAGTAAGTCAGTGCGTTATATGATGATTTTATCGGTTGTCAACTTCCCCATTGACAATAACACCTCTTCTTGATGTTAACCTGTGATCAGGCGCCCTTTTTTGGGGGACAAAAAAGGAAAAAGGACTGCCTGATCAGGGAATTTAGTCAAGCTATATTTGTAAATGGTTTATTTCGTAAGCTGCAGGTGAGTACTCCAGTAGTCCTTTGCTTCATTGAGTGTTCATTCAGACCAAAGCTTGAACAAAAACTCGAAAACACGCTTAGAGCTCTTAAACTTTTCAGTTTCACATATCCTGCCTTATAACTGAATCAGGCCGCAAACTGAGGGGTAATTGAAAGCATAACTTCAAATTTATGTGCAAAATGAATCTAAAGACTCTCTTCAATCAGCGTCTGGATTCATAATGACTTATCATGACTTTATTAATTCGTCCTATGTTATTGCATTGTCTGTGACTGACTCCTTTAGAAGGATATATAATTGACCCTGATGACTACGTGTCTAAACTAATGGTTTCAAACGTCGTGCAGCTGCCGTACTAAAGTCGAATTCAATTAAATCAATTGAGTTTGGCACGGTAGTAGCACGGCGTTTGAAACAGGTTTTATGCGCATGGGATACGGCCATCAGTTACGACATGCAGTGAATATAATATGATAAATGATTCCAGGGTGTAGTGGAGTGGGTAGTACTGCGGTAAAGAGCTGATCATGAACTACAGGATTCAGCATCGCCAAGCTAGAAGCACTTACTCGAATCTCACAGAAATATGAATAGTTTATTAGGTTTGAATTCAGCTATAACAAACAGTTTATTCAGGCCAGTTATGCTTGGTGGGCGTTACGTGAAGGAACCAATCGTCCGTATTACCTTTGTCCAGTGGAACGGGCGCTGAAATCTGGGAAATAGATTTTGAAGGAACACCATAACAACTAACATGTGCACATGCAGATTGTCATACTCGTGCTAGAATGGTGATTAGTGCAACTGCCATTATGGGGGCTACAGCAAGTGTCTTCGAATCTGTGGGGATGGTGAATTGGTAGCAGTTTTAGTTTTACATTGTAAATTGTTTGCCTCTTTGATAAATGAAAGTTCGATCTCAAGACACTTCCCCGGGCTAATTAGCAGTGGATAACAGCCTCCTCTTTTGTTCACTAAGACATAATAAATAGTCAGGCTGCCGCGCTTTAACGCTCTGTACAACTGAAGCGGATATTGCCTGGAATCGAGGCTGCCTGGGCATCAAATCGAAGGTAGTTCAACCCAGTGGCTATCAAAGCAGGCTTTTAAGAATAGAATGACTGAATTGTACAAAGATAGAATAAGCAAATCTTTCGACCTCGATAAACCATGTTCATGGGGTCTAGTACGTAATTGTGTTTGCCATATATTGGCCACAATGATTTAATAAGCATCACTTAAGGTTTTTTAGGGTGATTTTTAGTGATTAAGCTGGGAGGTGTCCTGCCTGAGACTTACTGAGGTCCAGCTTGCACCTTACCTTTTGCCTTTTTTCAATTACTTATTTATAGATAGACCAATAAAGTTGTTAAAACAAAACAAAGCAAACAAATTATTGTCACATTGTCGATTTCTACATACTAGGGGTGTCAGGCATCGGCTCCTAGAGGTGTCCGCTTGTTACGGAAGTTTCAACACTGCTCAAGATGCCGGGTCGGCGCTCTGGAGACCACGCCTTATCTGGGTTGAATTTGTTGGCTAGCAGGTACTTAGCTGAGCCTTCGAAAGAATTGTTGTTTACAGTTTAAATTGGAATTTAAGAAAGAAGTTGCTGTTCAAAACTGAAAAAAAATTCTCTAAATAATTCATCTTGAAATTCTCTGTTTTGTTTATCAGTGGTACCACAAATTAAGCCCTTCTTGTTTTGTGGATTATTTTAATCCAGTATCTTCCATTCATTCTATTATACACGTCAATCACAAGAACGATAGTCTGTTTGTTGATCGGTTCATACCACTTAATACGGCATTCGGTCTCTCCGTTACACTGGTACCAACGTTTGGAATCCTTTATCTGTTGATGTTAAGCCGAAAATCAAGCCGTTTTCCAGTTTTTGCCAAATATCAAGAATTCTATGATTGATGGTTATAATACTGTTATTAATTCCTGAAGTCTTATGATTATATTATCTTTAACTACTATTAATTTAATTAATGAAGTAATACTTTTTATCTGAAAGAACTATTTTGTCGCTATATTCCTTCTACTCGTTTTGTTGTTTTGGGTCACCAACTAGGTTAGTTCTATGAACTATTTAGGTGTCCCAAACTCTGTGCAAAATTAACCAAAAATGAAAATTTTCTTTTCCTTAACAATCTTAATATATTTTTATGTTTAAAAGCACTCATGATTTGTATTAATTAATTTTCTGATTGACTTGATCTGACTTGACCGATCAGTTTCCTAGTATTTGTCTTCACTGATCTCTGTTTTTCCTTTACCCACCATAAATGAAAGGAAAACTACCACTTGCGGGACTACAAAAAACCCGTCGCTTACAGCGTATGTTAATATATGTTGATATTATCAACCTGTTGGTGATAATGTTGCTATCGTGACTAACATTATTGTTTTATGTACACGTGTGGTGTACACTATCAGAGGTGTCGGTAAATGGTCTACGCTTGGTGTGATCCAGACATTCATTACATCCTGCTCACAGGCCAATATTCAATAGCAGCGCAACCTGGCAGACAAGCTCGTTTACATTGCTCCAATGTGACAACCAGCTTAAGAAGTCTCCGATAGGGTTTACACCATTCAGGCGTATAATGTAACCACTGAACTGCATAGACCCCTGCTGATGTTCGCCTATTCAATAGGCGAACATCAGTAGGGGAGCTCTGTAGAAGTAATCAACTTTTTACGGCTCATTTGCTTGGAGGTGACAAATTCTCATATCAACGGAATTCCTGTACGTCAACAAGATTTCGGTTCAACAAAAAACTCACCTACAAATTAGCCGCATTGGAAGTCTTTCTGCCGAACCGGAATGCATTTGCCTCTGTAGTGGCTTCTCTTAAAATTTATTGTACTTCGAGAAGAGTGATTTTACGCACTTCTTACTGGGGAATTTTCCATTGTATATTTTGTTTACTTGTATTTATTAAACACTAAGCGCCAGTTATTTAACTGGTATATTACAAAATCGCGTCATAATTAAGCCCTTTTCTGTTTAACCAACGCTTTTATCAAACCCCATTTATCGTGAATAATTTCAATACAGCATATAAGGCAGACTGGAAAACTAAAGCACTTATTTTCTTAAACTAACCCACCAAGAAAGAGGCCTGGAGGTCCAATGATTTCTGAAACCGCGGCCTAAGGTAACACGTAATGGTTTGAAAGTAATGTCACTCTATTTTCTTTTTGCCTCTCTCGCAAGTGAAAGTGAGAGTTCACAGAGACTGTGCGGTTTTCTCGAGTGCGTTTTAGAAGCTGCCTTAACGGAAAGGTTACTACACTACCGGAATTAAAACATCGAGGAAATTATTAATTTAAAGCCGCGGAGTATTTTCCCCAACAATGATCATGAATAATATTACCTCTAACTTTCTGCGATAACACTGCAAAATATTTCAGATTATTTTTCAACCGAATAGGCTGCGAATTTAATGCGATGATCATGGTCACTTTCATACCTTCATCCGCATTTCATATATTTCAATTCATGCTTACAAGATCTCCCTAATTTTATGTCTGAACGCAAGGCTTTTTCAATGGAAACTTCATTCAAGGGCAGAACTAACACCAAGCGCTAAACGGAAACTGCGTTATGAAAAAACTTTTAAAATTGAGGCGCTGTTTTAAAGGCCTCACTGGATCTGGATGGGGTTAAATACAAACGTAAGCGAAACACTAAATAAAATTCTCACAGAGCCACAGCCTAAAAAGGCTAAGCTGCTCTGTTGAATCAGGAAGGCCAAACTTTTTTTCTTAATGCTGGTCAGAGATTCAAACAATATCTAAAAGCGCGTTTTTAGTTCCCTCTGAGACACCCGGAGAATAAAATTCTCACAGACCCACAGCCTAAAAAGGTTAAGCTGCTCTGTTGCACCAGGAAGGCCAAACCGTTTTACTTAATGCTAGACGGAGATTCAAACCATATCTAAAAGAGAGTTTTTAGTTCCCTCTGAGACACCCGGAGAATAAAATTATCACAGAGCCACAGCCTAAAAAGGCTAAGCTGCTCTGTTGCATCAGGAAGGCCAAACTTTTTTTCATAATGCTGGACAGAGATTCAAACAATATCTAAAAGCGAGTTTTTAGTTCCCTCTGAGACACCCGGAGAATAAAATTATCACAGAGCCACAGCCTAAAAAGGCTAAGCTGCTCTGTTGCATCAGGAAGGCCAAACATTTTTTCTTAATGCTGGACAGAGATTCAAACAATATCTGAAAGCGAGTTTTTAGTTCCCTCTGAGACACCCGGAGAATAAAATTCTCACAGAGCCACAGCCTAAAAAGGCTAAGCTGCTCTGTTGCATCAGGAAGGCCAAACTGTTTTACTTAATGTGGGGAATGCACTATCATCTTCACAGATCTAATCAGTGCAAAATGAAATAAAGCTTTAATCTGTAAATCAATTTTTGGTTTATGAAATTTTACTCACTTTTACCGACTGTTGATAGCCACTGGCTTTCGCAAAATAATTTTTCCTGTTTTCTTAAAAGGGATTCGATAAAATTGAAAATATCCACTACGATCCACACTTAAAAACTTAACTCTGACTCGTTTGCGATCAGGCTTAAGAAATAGTGATCTCCATCAACATTCTCCATGAACATTACACTTTCACATCATTAGCAGTTATTGAGAATTTACGAAATGATCGAGTGATCATTGTCGACCTTAAAACGTTTTTGCGCCAACATGATAATAGGTATCCATTTGAAGATGATACAAAGGAACCCAAAATAGACTTACCAAGTTTCGGCCGATGTTTAGAAAATTGAAAAGGGCTGGAGAGCATCACCGTTCAGGCTAAATCCAGTCAGCGACCCTTAATAAAAATCATTTAAGCTTACATAATCAACAACGACGTGAATGCCCGAGTTTCTGACTTGACGGTCATCTGCCACCGTCAGGAAATCGTACGATATTGCTTCTCGAATGAATCCCTCATTTTAATTTCCCCAATTCATTAATCCACGACCAAGTACCTTTTCGAGATCTTCTCCGCACGACGAAAACGCTTTCTCTGACTTCTCTGACCGCTTCCCGCTATATTTTCTAGTAGCTGCAATTTAGTCCTTCTTTGATCGCTTTAAACCCGCTTTCGTCTGCATTTCATCGGCGCAAGTTAAAGGCTCGTGCTAAGGTTGAAACGACAACAACATGATCTTTCCTCTTTGAAAAACCAAACCTTGATGGGTTGACTCGAGCGCCAGTACTATCTGTACTATCGACCAAATCATAAATAGCTATAAATAATCGGCCCTGCTACTTCCAAACATCATCTCTACATAAAAAGCATAAAATTTTGACTTGCCATGAATTATATCTGTCGGTAAAACCATTTGGTCACTGATACTGCGTACGAGATTACCTTTGTTTGGCAAGCGAGGGTCCAAAGACTGAAGATGCTTTTCCCGACGAACGCGCCACTTTCATGCCGGCTTTGAAATTCGCGCGAGATCGCATTGTGATACAAAATAATAGTATCTGTCTTTCGTCTCAGCTCGTCTTCCATCAGTGACGCAAAGTACACAAGTCATGACAGATTAGTGGCTATTAATTGAATCCTAATTAGGTTTTTACAAGGACACCGGAAATTGAAACGTCCTCCCTGTGGTGAATTTCAAAGTCGTATGAATCTCGTCATGATGGGATCAGTATATCAAGTGTCGCAAAAGGCAGGAAGACCTAATTCCATTTAGAACAAATGTGGAACGAAGAGATGCGAAGTTTGTAAACTATTTAGGTTAAGGTCATTGCCGCTTCAAGCTGGGGGTACAACTGTAGTAACCACTTACTGTTTTGTCTAAAAAAAAATATTATTATAGCATGAATTGTAACTCGTCTATTGCAGTTTATTTCAGTATGCAAAGTCTATGGTTATCAGTAAGAGGTGGAACCACAGAAAAACAAATTTAAAATGAGGCCTAATAATCATAAATCTCACATTACAGGCGGACACGGGAACTTAGATCGGGTGCTCTTTAATATCCTTCTCTAAAGAGAAGGACTTAATAGTGAAAGACATTCAAATACAACTAACGGACAGAGTCAACCGAGGAGGAACTAAACACTCTAAACACTCTAGCCCCATGTGGTTTCAGGAAAGATGATTTTTGGTTATGGCTACAAAATAGGCACGGGAGGCTACAGAAAACTATAGCTAGAGTATTCACCTGATCAATTTCAATACTGCTAACCTTTGCGTTAACCTGAGATCAGGCCCAATTTTAGCTGCTTTCATACATTCTCTCTTACGTTGTCGCGTTAATAGAGCCTGATCTCAGGTTAATAGCGCTACAGTGCTTCGTACTCCGATGAGCACGCTGATGAGGTCTGATGACGTCAAAAAACTGAGCTTAGCAATCCTCCCAAGCGCAACCATAACTCAATAGTACACGATGAAATATTAGCCATGTGTCTTATAACGTAAGTATTAGGGAAACCTTTTGAATTTGTTAATCGATAGTAGAAAATGAGGTGAGTGTTGCGGGCTTTTGCTTGCTCGAAATACGTGTTTTAAAAAATCTTTCCCCCAATTGTAGGAGCGTGATATTGAAAGAGCGCGATACTGTCTACAGCACCGTCAATTGACCAATCAGAGCATGATACCAGAATCTGGTATCATAAACGGAGGCATCAAAGCCCTGTCTCCAGCAGGTTCCGCCGCCCTTTCCCCCTCCACATGCCACCGCTCGCCGAAATGTTTCCTCTATAAAATCCGTTTTTTACCCTTTTTCCCCCACTACGGAGCCTTGTTCCAGTATATTGATCACCTTACTCTTCTCAAAAGCTATTGAAAAACTTGGGCTACATAATTTATGTTCGCAGTAAAAAGTACTTAAATTGTCTCAATATGCTTTCGAAAAAGACGCCATCCTTTTTTTCTTGAATAAGGAACTGTGTAATAATTAGCAGGAAGGGATGGGCCAAAGTTGGAGGGGCCACAGTACCACAAGACAATCAACGAATTATCTCCGTCATTCTCATACGAAAGAACTCTTCTTGAATGTCAAATAGCCTCCTCGGCGAGGATCATTTCCCACACTAGCATTAAGTGTCTTAAATGCTAATGCGTGCGTACCTGATTGACACGTGGCTCCTGCGTATCCTGGCTGACAGCTACAAACATATCCATTAACCTGGTCAGTACACAATCCTCCGTTTAAACAAGGATTGCTGGAACATTCGTTGATGTCTGTGGCAAAAAGTACAAATTATATGAGAAAGGTAAACTTTTCATGATAATATTAAAAGATTGATTACAACTTTCGCCAGAACTATTCAGGGGTCCATTACGTTAAAATTATTTCTTACTTGTTTGACACTGTGCTCCTGTGTATCCAGGCTGACAGCTACAAGCATATCCATTAACCTGGTCAGTACACGAGCCTCCGTTTAAACAAGGATTGCTGGAACATTCGTTGATGTCTGTAATAAAAAATTAAAACACCGGAATACTCAACTTTAAATAGAAACATTAAAAGATTGTTGTCCCCAAACAATAGTCAACAGGTGACCGACCCCTGACGCGACCACACTTTTGGCGTTTTAGCAATAAGTTCAACTGATAGAATACTAGTATAGTTGAGTCTGCGTTGATGATTTAAGAAGCTTAATACAGATGAACCATTCTTTCTAAGTCTGTTTCCATATGACTTCCCTTTTTCTATATATATAAAAAGGACTATAAATAGTCGATGATGTCTCAGCCATCGTTTTTCTTCTCGCTGTGCTGTCCCATGAAAGTTTGCCTTCATTGCCAGAAGTGGTATTTAAAGTATTCTCACTGGAATCGACTCCTCTAGTCATACAGCTCTCCCTTCTGACCATAAGTTGTATTCACCAGGGAAGATGGTTTAAGACTGTTAATTTTATGTGATTAGTTATTCAGCGGCAGCGTGGCCCGGCCCAGTGGTCTGGGAGCTAGCTTCGCGCTTAGAAGGTGGTGAAGGTGTAGGTTTGACTCTCAATGTGGCCATTTTCGTTTACTTTGCACATTTTTTTTCTGTTTAGTTTCGTTTTTTGCTCATATTTTTTCCCTTTGGCATGTTTCCCTTTATTCCCACTGCTGACCCTTTACAGCTTCGCGTTATTTTTGCGATAACGAGATTCTAGTATACGTCGTGACAGGAGTCCCTGCTCGACGTCCTGGCTCAGTATTTAGGTATCCTTTCCCGCACGTATTTTGAAAATTTGTGCCAAGAAGTAGGCATGTCGCGATATATTGCGCTGGGCACTTTTTCGGCACTTTTTCGAATCTGGAGCACTATTTTAAATTCCCAGCAATGTTGAGCACTTTCTTGACTTTTGAGCAGAATGTGAGCGTTTTTCCACCTTTTGGGCAACATTTAAGCACTTTTTTTTACAACTTTCCACATGTTAAATGCAATATTTTGTCTTTCGGTAAGCTGAGTTATTCTTTTATCACGAATTTGAATAATTCCACCTTGTCGCCTGACTGTTTTCATGAAAATGTAATCCTTTTAACCGTGGGAACAGTCGATTTTGGAAAAAAACATTGGCGTTTCACTTCTAGTTTGGTCACCCATTAGAAAATCGGGGGTTAAAGCTTTGATAAAACTAAGAAACTATGAACATCTGTTAGGAAATAATTAAAAACTACGAGCAACTTTCGAACACTATTTCGTAATTTCAAGCACTTTTTAAAAAATTTTCTTGCACCACTTGAGCACTTTGTGGCGAATTTTCCAGCGCAATCGGGATATACCTACCAAGAAGCTGCCGCAGCCACTAACTATGTTTTAGCCGGGGTGAAGTTCCCTTTATCTGGAACTGAAGAGCCACCAGTTTTTAAAGCAAAATGCCAAGGAGAACGTTAAATCTAAAGCTCCATTTCCTAATATGGTTGTTCGTTTAGGGCAAAAATCAGGAAAAAATTATTCACCTTTTCTTCTGATTGGCAGCATGGCTTCGTGAAAGGGTGTTCCCGATTATCAAATCGTAAGCAAGGGGTTATTGCTGATGGCAATTGCTCATGTGCGCTAAAAATCCCGTCTGGTATGTCGCAAGGATCAATCTTGAGCCCCTGTTTTCTTTATTTTAAGTTATCAGTGATCCTCGTGGGGTGGTCACTCCAGGGAAATCGGTGGCACTTTATGCAGACCAATGTAAGGCATTTAGAGTAATAACTTGCCCTAATAATCAGCTGATGTTTTAAGAGGATCTCGATAAACTAAACATGGAGTCATCTTTAAACAAGATAACCTTCGGTGTAAGTACTGCAAGTTAGTGCGAATTACCAACTATTTAATATCAAATAGGACCGTAAATGAAGGGTTCTGTCTTGGAGGAAATTGACGAATTTCGCAGCCTTGGCCCACCTTAAACCATCATCTCTTTGTGTGAATTGTCATATTGATACCATTGCGAGAAAAAGGAACAGATTTTTGGGCTTGATAATTAGAATTAGGAAGAACACGTAGAGGTTGAAACGACATTGTAACATTCAAGGTGTTGTATTGCACCATGTTGTGTTGGTCACCCTATACTCATCAAAAACTATTGAAAAATTTGGGCTACTTAATATGTACTGTGTCAGCGATGAAGAGTACTTAAATTGTCTCAATATGCTTTCGAAAAAGACGCCATCCTTTTTTCCTTGTATAAGGAACTATGGAATAATTACCAGGAAGGGATGGGCCAAAGTTGGAGGAGCCACAATGCGACAAGACAATCAATGAATTATCCCCGTCATTCTCGTACGAAAGAAGTCTTCTTGAATGTAAAATAGCCTCCTCGACGAGGATTGTTTCCCTCACAAGCATTTGCAGTGTCTTAAATGCTAATACCCACGTACCTGATTGACACCTAGTCCCTGTGTATCCAGGCTGACATAGACAAGCATATCGATTAACGTAGTCAACGCAAAATCCTCCGTTTAAACAAGGATTGCTGGAACATTCGTTGATGTCTGTGGTAAAAAGTACAACACGAGAAACTGAGGTCAACTTTTCATGGCAAAAGTAAAAGATGGATTACAACTTCTGCCAAAACTATTCAGGAGATATTACGTTAAAAATATTTCTTACTTGTTTGACACTGTGCTCCTGCGTATCCAGGCCGACAGCTACAAACATATCCATTAATCTGGTCAGTACACGATCCTCCGTTTAAACAAGGATTGCTGGAACATTCGTTGATGTCTGTGATAAAAACAATAATCAACAGCTGATCGACCTCTGACGTGACCACATTTTTCGGCGTTTTAGCAATTATAAGTTCAACTGATAGAAGACTAGACAAGTGTAGTTTGAGTTTGCGTTGATGTCCATATTTTACATTGAAGTGGCTTAATATACGCACTACGCATTATTTTGGAAGTCTGTCTCAATATGATCTACCTTTTTCTATATAAAAAGGACTATAAACAGTCGATTATGTCTCAGCCCCATCGTTTTTGTTCTCGTTTTGCTGTCCCATGAGAATTTCCATTCATCGCCGGAAGTTGTATGAAATGTTTTCTCACTTGAATCGACTCCTGTAGTCATGCATACAGTTATCTCTTCTGACCATAAGTTGCATAAATCCGGAAAATGGTTTAAGACTATTAATTTTACGTAATTAGTTATTCAGCAGCAGCGTGGCCCACAGTGGTCTTGGAGCCGGCCGCTCGCGTAGAAGGTGGTCAAGGTGTAGGTTTAACTCTCGATGTGACCATTTTCGTTTTCCTTGGACATTTTTTTCTGTTTAGTTTTCGTTTTTTTGTTCATATTTTTTCCCTTTGGCTTGTTTCCCTTTATTCTTACTGCTAACCCTTTACAACATCGCGAGCTTTTTGCGATGACGTATTTCTAGTATACGTCGTGACTGGAGTCCTGGCTCGAAGTCCTGGCTCGGTATTTAGGTATCCTCCTTCGCACGTGTTTCGAAATTTGTGCCAAGAAGCTTCCGCAGCCAATAGCCAATTTTTACCCGGGGTGAAGCTCCCTTGATGTAGAACTGAAAAGCTACCAGTTTTTCAAGCAAAATGCCAAGGAGAACGTTGAAACTATGGATCCATTTCTCCTCAAAACGTGAACCTGTGACGCTAAACACTCTTTAGAGTTTCTCGTAGTTGCTATATTTTGTTTTGTTGAGACAGTTTTTTGAAACGAAAAGGGCAAATACAAAGTAACTTTGATAAATAGAAGTTCTTTTTTCTCACCCGCATTCATCATAATTAAAGTTCTTCTTCTTGAAATGCTAACCGTATTCGCCCCAGGTTTCTGATTACCCAGTTTCTTGCAATTAATCTTTGGATGAGAGTGCCGTTTCAGATAGGAGATAGGCGTCGGCACTCCTCCTCTGACTATTTGTTCGTCAGCTTTCACCAATGTGTTAGCGTAGCATTTTAGGGTTAATTTTGACCAGAATTTTGTGCTGCGAAAATCGCTTAAATCGTTCCTGCTGAAAAATGCGATTTAAAAGCATACCCAACACCCATATAAATAGGTTTGGGCCACCTTAACAGGATAACCTTCGATGTAAGCGAGGCAAGTTAGTGCGAATTATTCCGAAGAAGCAACCAATCGTATCAAATATGACCTTAAACGGTTCTGTCTTGGAGGAACAAATGAATTCTGCAGCAACCATCATCTCTCCATGTGAATTGTCATGATGCCATTGCGAGAAAAGCGAACAGAATTTTAGGCTTGATGAGAATTAGAAAGGACATTAGAGGTTGGAAGGACATGGTAACATTCAAGATGTTTTATTGTACGCCAAGTTTGGTCACCTTTCTCATCAAAAGCTATTGACAAATTTGAGCGTATTCAAGTTAAGAAGGCTACATACTTATGTCAGCGAGACGAGAGTGCTTAAGGTGGCTCGATACAGTTTTTCAAGGCCAATACCTCCCAAGTTTGAGCAGAAACTACGGGCGCTTTCCATTTAGGAAAAAAACCCGGAAATTTCGGTGGTAGCAAAAGTGGAATTTCCGATTGGTAAAACGTTGTTCCATTTGGTCGTAAACCCCGGTACGTGGCGGTGCCCGACCGTGGACCTGGAACTGGTACAAACTACGAGAAACGTAAATGGAACACGAGATTCCGTTCGGAAATTCCAACCGGGAAAACGGGACCACCTTTTTACATTTTCCACTTTTTCTGGGAATTTTCCAGTGGGACGAACCGACGAAACGTGTTCCATTTACCGCCGAACCGGAAATTCCGGAAATTTTGAGTAAATGGAAAGCGCCCTACGTCGCCATAAACAAAGTTTTGGAAAAATTGCCCCCACAGTTGTATTAGATAAAGATGAAAATCTTTTATGATCAGGGTTGCAATGACATCGGAGTTGTCATAGCAACGAAATGACGCTATTACCTATTTTACTTACAGAAGTATTTCTCGGCACTGAGAACTGTTCTTCCAAAATTATTCACGGGAGCTTTTTCCTCCAATAGCCGCCTCGATGTTCGTGAAGTTTAAGCGAAATCTGTAAGAGCGTTATCGAGATATTTTGGGATCAAGATTTTGTGGTTAGAAATACGGTAAAAAATGGATAATCTTGATGTTCGGCTGTTATCTATAGAAAATGAAGCGCTTTTGACATGCAATTTCACCTGATAGTAGTTTCAATCTTTTTAAAAAGGTGTGTGAAAGACCGTGGAGATAGCTCCAGCCGATTGCTAGAAAGAAGGATTTGATTAGTATGTATCGAGGCGCTTTTGTTAGCGGTTTTTGAACATTTTGTCTACTTTAACAAATTAGCGAATAATTTTTAAACCACTCGATAGATTTTTTAAAAAAAAATAAGATTCTTGAGATTAACCTTCCTTTTACATGACTCTTTAGTTTCAAGATTATTGATATATTGTAAGGCAGTAAAATAAGGGCTACAATTCGCCAATATTTTGGCAGAAATTTTGTGTTTACAAATGTGAGCCTCTCATTATTCAGGGTATTGTCTCCAAGTTTCATATTTTCGCGTATAACAATAGCTAGCATTTTTGCATATGTCAAATGCATTGTTAGTTACTGTTGTTCACGTGAAAATGAAACTTGGAGACAATGCCTTGAATAATGAGAGGCTTTCACTTGTAATAACGGAACTTCCGATAAAAAAGTAACGAGTTGTAGCCCTTATTTTACTGCCTTACAATGTATCAATAATCTTGAAACTAAAAGGTCATATAAAAGAAAGTTTAATCTCAAGAATCTTAAATTTTAAAAAAAATCTATCGAGCGGTTTAAAAATTATTCGCTATTTTTTTAAAGAAGACCAAAATGTTTACAAAACTGCACTACGAGCCTCAGCGCTCCGGAAGTTAAAAAATTCGTACCGTCTGGTTGCTATGAAGTGACGTAATCATCCAGTTGAGTATCCATCACTGTAATACTTTTGCGGTCAACTACCGCAGCGCTCGTAAAGTACTTTAATTAAAACCGTGTTCAAAATCCTGAAGGAAGTCTGTTTATTTTTGAGTCGATTATTGCACTGCTGACTTTCACGAGGTCAACTTTTGCATAAATTATCAAACATTATGTTAAGCGGGAAATCTACCTATGGTTCGCGGGAGAAGCAACTTCTATAGCGGCGCAAGACAAATGTTTCGAGAGTCGAGGATGTGCTCACAAACTATTCACTATGCGACGAAAGGAGAAATCACTGGCATGATAGCCGCATGTAATGGTAATTTTATCAATCCAAGTCGCGCCGTGTTCGCTCGAGAACGCTGTGACAACCTCGTTTGGCGCGCTTCTCAATACTTCCAAAACATGTTGTAATCGGTAAGTAGACTTAAGCACTTAGTATCGCCAAGCCATTCGAATCAGTGTCTACCCAATTCTTTGTCTGAAGATTCTCGCAAACACACATACCAAGTAAATCTGGATGGAAGAGGAAATTGTCTCTCTAAACCCAGCCAGATTATATTTTGAAGGATGGCGACACAATTCAATGTGTCTTCTAGGTCAGCCCTAATTTATAGTTCGTAAGAGTATAAATTGCGATCTCCCTATTTTCGCTTAAGCTTTCTTTGATTAAACTTCAGTAGAAACAAAACAACACAGACACTATGACATTCTCCTGCATGAGACACAATCGGCTGAAGGAAATATCTGTTTACAAGTCGGGTAAATTATCCTTTCTTGCGCACCGCAAAATCAGCTAACACGTTTAGAACTTTGACGCGTAGGAAAAAATAGGCAGTTGTTCTATGTCCTTTCTGGTTCATCCAGGTAGAAGTCCTGGCATGATGTTATTATGCCTGAGCGCTTCTAGGATATATAACACGTTTAGTATTTCGACCCGTAGCCGAAAAAAAAAAAAGAAATTAGGCAGTTGTTCTATATCCTTTCTGGTTCATCCAGGTAGAAGTCCTGGCATATTATTATGCCTGAGCGCTTCTAGGATATATAACACGTGTAGCAGCTCGACCCGTAGCCGAAAAAAAAGAAAATTAGGCAGTTGTTCTATATCCTTTCTGGTTCATCCAGGTAGAAGTCCTGGCATGATGTTATTATGCCTGAGCGCTTCTAGGATATATAACACGTTTAGTATTTCGACCCGTAGCCGTAAAAAAAGAATTAGGTAGTTGTTCTATATCCTTTCTTTTTCATCCAGGTAGAAGTCCTGGCATGATGTTATTATGCCTGAGCGCTTCTAGGATATATAACACGTTTAGTATTTCGACCCGTAGAAAGAAAGATATCCTATCATTTCGTCGTACTAAATCAATGTAAATGTACTTAATCGTTTTTGTCTGTGTTGGCAATGAGATCGACCGCAGACTTAAATATATTTCTTTTTAGACGGCACTGAATTATTTTTCCGAAACCAAAGCCGTACATTTTGTTAGATACCGAGCTTTTAATTAATTACATTTCTCGCCCTAGGATGATGACATGATTGCGTGAAAATGGACGCCTCTATCATATTAGATGCGAAATACGATCAGAGATTAATGGAATAGGGAATGTTGCAAGCTACTGAGTATCCAGCTGAGATAGCTGACTTTTACTCAGCTATCTCAGCTGGATACTGAGGCGTTTTTTTTGGTTGCTAAGATCGTGCGGCTCGTTATAATAAAACCCTTCTTTCTAGCAATCGGCTGGAGCTATCTCCATGATCTTTCACACACGTTTTTAAAAAGATTGAAACTACTATCAGGTGAAATTGCATGTCAAAAGCGCTTCATTCTCTACAGATAACGGCCAAACAACAATATTGTCCATTTTTTACTTTGTTTCTAATCATAAAAACTTCATCCCAAAATATCTCGATAACGCTCGGACAGATTTCGCTTAAACTTCACGAACATCGAGGCTGCTATTGGAGGAAAAAGCTCCCGTGAACGATTTTGGAAGAACAGTTCTCAGATACACTGCTGCAAGTAAAATAGGTAATAGCGTCATTTCGTTGCTATGACAACTCCGATGCCGTTGCAACCCTGATCATAACAAATTTTCATCTTTATCTAATACAACTGTGGTGGCAATTTTTCCAAAACTTTGTTTATGGCGACATAGTTTATGCTCAAACTTGGGAGGTATTGGCCCTGAAAAACTGTATCGAGCCACCTTAAATTAATTGTATCAATATGGTTTTGAAGGAGACGCTACTTCGCTTGCTCGGAGGAACTGGAGGTGAATAAGTGATTAGCACTGGATATCCGGAGGTTGAGTACTGTTTTAGTACATGCTAATTAGCAATATTCTACGAGTGCGCTTTGGATATAAGAGGGTAGATGGCCGACGAGGCGAGTAGCGCTGAGCTGGCTATAATGATGTCATATATCCAACAAGCGCGAGTGGAATAATTGTTTTATGAAAAACGCCCACAAAGTATCGAGAATTCTTCCCGACCCTTTTTGGAAAAGAAAACCGATTTTCAGTTTGTTTTTAATTTTGAGCAGACGCGTACACTGACCATAATTCGGAGAGCATGGTATAAGGGTTGGTATAAGGGCCAATATACCATGATGGATAAGCCAATCAGAGCTCTAGAATTGCATTATCCAATAATTTAGATTTTAATAATTATAATTAACATATTATATATCTGTCTTTGTTTTACTCTGGCCATAACATTTCAGATTGTTTTCATTATCTATACGATATTCCTTTTTCTGTTGTCTAGATTGTATTAAAGTTGAAGTATTCTTTCTCTGTTTCTAAGCGGTGGATCGGCCAAATTCTTATCATCATACGTAGTATAATCATTTCTCCAGTTCTGCCAAAATAGCTGAGCTACCGCGTCTGCTGTTCCTTTTTTGATTTCTGTCATTATCAGTAACCAAGGTATTGGAAATTAACGCGACTTAAATTATCACGAATTTAGTGGAAAACGGCTTTTCATTAAAGGACATTGACGCGCGAGGGAAGGTAACATTTCAAAATAAAGGAAATAAACCCGATGTTCACAAAGAAACAGAGCTTGTTAAGAGAACAAGAACAAAGTTAGCAAAGCAAAGTTCGTGCTTCTTTAATTCGCGTTAATTTTTGTAAGCGTTAATTTTCGCGCCGTTAATTAAGTGGCGCGCTAATTTCCGCAACCTTAATTTCCATTATTTTGGCCCCAAATTCTCGATGCACTTCAGATCTTCTTGACACCTAAGAAAGAGGAGTATTTTATCAGGGAGGAGATCCGCCAGTAACAGTGAAACTGTGAACAACCCTCGAAGTGGTCAGATTTCTTCGCTTGATCCCCTTCGTACGTTAAGGCGCTAAAAGAGTTAAAGTCGAGAATTTGGAGCCAAAAAGATAATGGCAATTAAGGTTGCGGAAAATTAGCGCTCCACCTATTTAACGGCACGGAAATTAATGCTTGATAAAATTAACACGGCTTAAATTAACGCAACTTTTTGAAATTTGCGTTAATTTCATAGGGCGTGAAATTATAATTATAATTTCCTATAACAATGGCAATGTCTATTGATAGCGGCAAATGCCTTCCCAGCCCGGTAAACGGTAAGCCTCATGAAAAAACTGTCCATTTTACTAAAGGCCTGTTTACATGGGGGTGGGGGACCCCAGATAGGTGAGGTAACATGTGGTGGGTCATCCCACCTATCATGTAAACGTTACCAAATTAAAATGAGAGATTAAGTGGAAAGGCAGGTTGCCCCACCTAAGCGGGTTACCTCACCTACCTGGGGTCCCCTACCTCCATGTAAACAGGCCCTAAATAACCTGTTTTTTCTTTTTGTTATCATATTTTGTTAATTTTGAGAAGCTTACATTAACTAGTTAATTTTTAATTGATCAAATACTCACCCACGTCAACAACAGACATCGCCTCAATAGAACGCTAGGAGTTTCGTTAAACGCATTTATAAGAGCCAGCATCATTCAGCTTCAAATTCCGAAGTAGCAATGTGCCATTAAAATATAGAACGTGGTTTTGAGGTAGACTTTGCCTTACTCTTTTCCAAATAGTTCCTGTTGAACCTTGAGCTTTACAGTTTAACATCAAATCGCTTGATGTTTCCGCTTTAACTTTCAGGGGAGGGGTAATGGTGAATTTAAGCTTGTCAGTCACCATTAGTATGGCGACAGCTGATTCCTGACACAGGAGATTCTTTGCTAAGCATTCGTAAGTCCCGCTATCTGATTTAGCCACACCCTCTATGGTCAGATCGCCATCAACCACCCTTGTCTTCCCTTTGGGCAAGTGACTCAATGCTCTTCGCCACGTGATTCGGGGAGTTGGGCGACCACTAGCTTTACACTGTAAAATCGCCTTTTGCCCTTCTTCGACGATGATAGACAAGGGTTTATGAGTGATCACGGCACCAACTACAAAAGAATGCAACAGGTATGGTCAGTTTATCATACCAAACATCCGAGTAAGCAACTGAAGTCAAGCTTTGCAGTTCATTTTTTACACTGATAAAATGCCCCTAACGTTCGTAATTGAAAATGCAGTGAGAAAACGCGGTGGTAATGACAACGACGTTGAAGAAGAGATAGCAAATAATTGTAACTCTACAACTACAGCTGTCACTGGAACATTCATCAGGGGCACCCAACGAGAATATGGTTCAAAACCACTTAAACATAGCATTGTTAAACGTATTTTGCTATTTAAACGGTAGATATAGGCATATTTTTATCCCCTAAACATTTTTCATCTGTTCGGATTTCCTAGCTGAAAGTCTAGTAATCCGAAAATTATAGGGATCAAAACTTACCTTTCCGAAAATTTCAGCCAGAAAAAAGGTTCCTGAAAATTCTACGGGGCCTTTTAATGGTAAAAATCCGTTAAATATAAGCAATTATACCATTTTTTAGATGTTCGAAAATCCTAGGAAAGGCAGGCAAGCAAGAAATTTTACAACAAATGCTCCGAAAATTCTAGATCTCAAATCGTCTTCTGAACAGATATTTTCCGAAAATTGTCGTTGGGGCGCCCCTGGCACTTGCAGAGACAGTGTGTGAACAATTTAGTATCTTAAAATACTTCAAAAAATTTGAATGCATTTAACTACACAACAAAGAATTAAGCCAGCTTTTTTTGTTGCCGACCTGCATGCGCTCTCTTTCTTGAGATGCTTTTGCCAGAAGTCAATGTATAATTTCCTTGTAATGAACTAATTTTTTGATAACACGCACATACGAAAGGCTCATAAACAATTGAATTAAGACAAGTTAAAGCTAAGTAGGCATTTTTATGTACCTTGCACAGTTAACGCTGCGGATGATGTAATAACGCCAAGTATATTTCTTGCCTTACAAGTGTAGAGTCCGCCATCTTGTGACGTCACATCTCCAATAATTAATCCACCACGTGATTCGACGATTCGTTTATCAGCGAGAAGACTGCAGTTTTGTTTCAGCCACGTGACCTGTGGTTGTGGATTTCCTTTAACCTCACACTGCAATGTGGCTATACCAGTTTCGTTTACAACCATATGCACTGGAGGTGACACAATAGAAGGAGCTGAGATGGATTCACCAGGATCGCCCTTGGGTCCTTGAGGGCCCTGATCGCCTTTAGGTCCAGGATGCCCCTGATCTCCTTGAGTACCTTTAATTTGTTTCCTTTCGGTCATTGGGGTCCACGCGGTCCGGGACGACCATGCTTGCCTGGGGCACCAGGCCTTCCTCGTCTTCCCCTTATTCCTCTCGGACAGTTTACCTTACAGGCCAGGCTACTCAGGACCAGCTGGACTTCTCTTTTGATGTCGTCACGACTGACAATTAGACTTGTGTTTGATTTCTTGTTTTTATTTTTTGAGCTGCGTTTGTAGCGACTGTGTGTTTCTGCAATTAAATTATAAACACAATTGGTGATAAAACCAAATTTTAGAAGAATACTGGTCGTCTTCTCTTGTGAGTTAAAATATAACTCCAAATATTTTTCAGGTTTTATCCCAGTTTCTTCAATTAATTGAAGCATGACTGCTACACTGTTTGTTATGTGTATTACTGTATTGCTATTTTCAAATCATCAGGAATATCACTACGCGTGTCCATTCCCTCTTTTTTAATCAACAACTAATGGTTTGTAAAGAATTTTGGTTAGAGTAACACATATTTTGACTCCATCTCGGCTTTCGACCTGTAGCAGGGCAGAACATATCTCCTTATTCTTTCAGACAAAGGGGAGGTTTTTCTGTACAAAACTACCACGTGTTGCGGCTACATAGTTTGTTACCATACCGGACGTAATGTTACACATCTGTTGTTGTCGCGACGACGTTTTGAGGGAAGAAAATAAGAGAAAACGGAGGTTTTCAAATAAATATCATGATGTACATCCTACATCATACAGTGCATGCCCTATCAGGGATGCTATCGTATTTGGACTTTCGTTTGGACAGGCGAAAAACGATCCATTACACTACCTCTGGAGTCATATTTTTTATTCAAGTCGAGAAAAAAATCTCCGTTTTCAAAAATATTGGGGTACGTGTGGACGAGTCTCTTGCTCGTATGAGGAAATATACCACACCCTGTGACCTCATGTAGCCGAACGGCTTTATCATCTCTTCTTTCACTTCCTGTGAGCAGTTTAGCTAAAGAGGAAGTTTTCACTATAGCACGTACTACCGCCACATCTGAAACTTCCATCTCGATAATGTAATATTTTAAAATTACATTATTAGGTGTTTAAAAACACCTAATTTTTTGCGTATATTGAAATAGAAAGAAGCAACATGCGTTGTATATTACTCCCTCTACAACCATACATAACTCTCAAAACGCTTATAAATACTTAATATCGTAGTACGAAATAGTCATGAATTAAAGAAATAAGAAGCCCATTTGCCATTTTTTTTGCCAATTTGGCTTGGCGCAACATTTCCTTCTCTGTGGTGAGTCAGGACTTGTAGCATTTTTCGATGAGCGTGAAGTTCGACCTCAACCTGAACCAGTGCCACGAAACAAACAATGGAGAGAACTATTGACGAAAAGGCTAGAGTGTTGGAGACCGAACGCGTCTTTGACGTCTCCATCACTCAGCTTAAGAGCGTTGGTATTTGAAACAAACGAATCAGTTTAAACTTGAAGCAATTGGAGGGCTGTTAACTCGACTTTTGCAATTTTCGAGTCTAATACCTTCAGTAGTTATTTCTTTCTGTGAAGTGTCCCATATAACGACATCATTAATAACCCTTAACTCTCAGAAACATGACCTCCGTTTTGCTTAACATTTCCGCTTTTTCTGGCTGTTAACCAAAGTTTTAATGAGCCTGAAAGTTAAGGAGAGCTATTAAATAACCGGAAACTCAGTAGCCTTTAGATTACAGTAATAATTGCAAAGTAGGGAAAGGCGTTAGACAGAGAGCGGTTATAAGGCAAGGGGAGGGGGAGTGAGAGCCGGACCAACGTGGGGTCTTAAAATAACTGAGCATATTGCGGTACACAGTCGTTCTTAGGGGTTCGTCACGCGTTCCTGCCCCACTAAATACGGGGCAGGAATGACTGTTTCAGTTATCGTAATGTATGATATCCTGGGTAAGTGAAGAGATCCGCATTCGGGCCGGCTGCTCGTTTCCCATACTGACACAATCTGCCGATCCATATAACTAAACAAAAATGACTGTTTGTCTTGAAAAGCAAAGTTTTCTTTGCAAAATTTAGCTGCATAACCCTATCCCCATTAGTTCATTTTCCTTCCATCACGTGACACCCACCAGGCAACTGACTCTGGCACAAAGGCAACATCATTTTTGCACTCAAATTTAATAAACTGTTCACAGGTTTGTGAGACTCGAGTGAGTGCCGCCATTTGAGCTGTGCTAACTCCAGTGTGAGATACATCTTTTCTGTAACAACAGTAACATCCAGAAGTCACACCACACCCAGGGATATGGACAACATGAGTTCTACTCTCGCTGTCGTGACTCATGACTGTTACGCCAGCTCCTACCTTGTCACTCATATCACAATACACACTGAAAGGTTCCACGCCTCCTTTGCTATCAGGGTCAATAGTATAATTACCTGATGAACTTCCACTGCGACCTGACTTAAGACTGCTGCAAGACTTAGGTGTAATCACCTTAACAACAGATGTCGCAGTTACTGAACGCAGAGAGTTGTTTGCCACGCACGTATAGGATCCTGCATCATTTGGTGATATGTTCCCAAGAAGTAAAGTACCATTTGGATACAAAATATGATTTCGTGGAAGATGTTTTCCCACTCTAATCCAGTCAACTTCTATTGCGCCTTGAGCATCACAGTGCAACATCAACTTCCAAGACACCGAGGTGACAGCTTTAGTCAGTCAGTTAGTTAGTCAGGGTAAATTTAAGTCTGTCGATCACGGTCACCTGTGCGATTGTGGTGTCATGTCCAAGGAGATTCTTTGTAGTACATGCATACGTCCCGCCATCTGTTTTTTCTACTTTGAGTATTGTAAGGCTCCCATTTTCCAGGGTGACGTTCTCTCCTTCTTCAACTATTACAGACAACAGCCTTTGAATAATTAAGGCTCCCACTGCAATAAAAAAAAAAGAAACAAGAGTTCTGTAGAGCATATCCCTCTTTTTTCTTGAGGGCGAAAAAGGAAGATCTTCTTTCTCTAACTTAAGACACCTTTTATTGCGAGTTTAACTCTTACACCATTTGAATTCCCCTAAGTTAAGAAAATATTTATCTCTCGTTCGTAGAGGTTTCTATAAGTAAGAAAAAAGAATTATTCATAAAATATTCAAGAGTGAACTATCTTTTCTCCTTCACTTACCCTCTGCCACGCCTCCTAGCAGTTTAGTGCTTACAGTACGCTGCTTACCTTATAAAGGTAGGTACTGAGTCAACCCACACACGCAGCTTAACGTGAGTGCGATAAGGAACGGACCATTAGAAAAGTTATAAAAAGGTGGGAGGGGAGCGAAGTACAGAAAAATTTATTCATACAAGGGAAAATTTACCAAAGAAATAAGGGATCGATATTCTAATGAAAAAATATAGTGGAACCTCTCTCCTCTGGCACACCTCCATTCAGGGGACACAAACTTTGGTCCCGGAAAAACACCCATATAATCTTTGTATCTGTTACCTGTATTAAAGGGACACCTCCATTCAGGGAAAAGGGACACATTTTCTGGGTCCCGAAGCCCAAGTTTAACCTCCATTCAGAGGACACCTTAGCACCCAAAACCTGACTGACCACAAAGAGTGTTGACATTTTAAAGTTTGCACTAATGACCAATGTGGAAGCTTTGATTCACAAACTTAACTATCTCACTAGATAGATAGATAGATAGATAGATAGATAGATAGATAGATAGATAGATAGATAGATAGATAGATAGATAGATAGATAGATAGATAACTTTATTTAAACACGGTTAAAATTCCTTCAGCATGTACAAAAAATCTAAGATCTATTATACCTAACTAAACTAACTCTGATTAAAAACATATTCATTAAATTTTAACTACCTAGCTATTTACAAATAAAAGCTGCTTTTCAAGGATGCCGTGTAAAACTGTATTAATGTATGATCTCATTCAAAACTGTTGCGACACAGTTTGCGTTTAAAATCATGTAAAGAATCTGCAGATCTTAAGAGCCATTTCCTGAGAAAATCGAGAATCGCAAGACACTCGCCAAAAAAATCGAATTTTTTATTATTTTGCCAAAACATCCCTTTTAGTGACCTAATTTAAGGAAAAATAGTTTTGGGTTCAAACGATTTATTTTAAAGGAGAAATTTAAAAAAGTTTGAAAAATCGATTTTATTCCTGTTTTTCGAACAAAACACGGCAGGATGCAATGGCAACTTCGAGAGAAGGGTGAACGCATAAGAAACATTCCCTGACACTGAAACTTCACCGAATTATTATTTTGTTCTTACTCTTAAAAACCTTAAAAGAAAATTTGAAAAACAATGTCTTATATTTTTATAATCGACAAGTCTAAAGAGGTCATATTTGTGACGTTAGACATGCTAGAAAACAAAGGCCAACTTTGACAATTAAAAAAGGCCTCTGGTATATGCCGCTTGATCATAAAATCAATATAAAATGGAACCTTGGCTTTTGTACTAACTTACTGGAAAGTTTTAGCTCTGGAAATCAAATACCATCCTGACACCAAAGCAAGCGGTGAGAGCAATTGAATTGGGAAATTTATGCAAATTAGACAGCTTGCGGACGGTTGTATGTATGTATGTATGTAAATCTTTATTTAAACACGGGAAATCATCAGTTAAGCTTAAGTTAAAAACTAAAACTAATTACAACTGCTTTACATGATTGCCGTGTGGGAATCCGATATATCAGCTACCTTCTTGATATTTCGCTTAAAATGCTCAACGGATGCAGCGTTTTTTAAGTTTTTGGGCAAGTTATTCCATAACATGGCCCCGCTGTAAGAGAAGCTTCGTTTCAAATAATTGGTGCTTGGTTTGGACAAGGTCAGCCTTCCCTCAGAGTTTCTTAAGTTGTAAGCAGAGTGACGCTGAGAGAAAAGACTTTGCAGATATTCTGGAGCAAGGTCATTCATGGTTTTATACATCATTACGGCTTTTTGTTTCTTTCGTCGAAGAGATAGCCTCTCCCAGCTGAGGGTGGAGAGAAGGTGGTTTGAGCTCGCATCAAAGGGTGATTTAGTAATAACTCTGGCTGCACGATTCTGTAATTTTTGGAGCTTATCACTCAAGTAACCACTCAAACAGTCCCAGACGGGGCTGCAGTAATCAAAATGAGGCATAATTAAAGCGTTATAAATTTGAATTGCAGTTTCTTTGGATATAAAGGGCCGCACACGTTTTAGGGCGCCTATAGCTGAAGAGACTTTCTTGCAAATCTCTTCAACGTGTTTACCCCAAGAGAGTTGAGCATCTATGGTAAGACCCAAGGATTTGGTATGATCGACTCTCTTAATAATTTGGTCATCAATTCTGATTTCTACATCGTCACATTGGGCAGATAGTCTTTGTCTTGATCCAATAATCATTAGCTCTGTTTTAGCAACATTTAGACTGAGCTTGTTAGCTTTCAGCCAACAGCTAAGGTTATTTAATTCAGGGGTTAGAGCTAGCTTAAGCTCTGTTAAAGTCTTAGCAGATAACGTAAGGTTGGTGTCGTCGGCAAACATTCTTGGTACGGCGCCCCGCAGGAGTTGGGAAGATCATTAATGTAAATTAAAAATAGCAAAGGACCCAATATGCTACCCTGCGGCACGCCGCAACTGAGGGTACGAGCAGATGATAGTTTGCCACTGACATTACATCTTTGGGTTCGGCCACTTAAGTACGACGAGAACCATTTTATAGCTGCCTGATCGACACCCAAGTACGACATCTTACGCAAGATGATCTCATGATCAATGGTGTCGAATGCCTTAGTAAGGTCAATAAAGACAACGCCATTTAGAAGGCCATTGTCGATGTTTACTGACCAAGCATTTGTTGCCTCAAGCAAAGCCGTGAGCGTACTATGTAGAGAACGGAACCCTGATTGGCAACCTAGTAGCAATTTATTATCATCTAGATAATGGAAAAGTTGATTATAAACAATTCTTTCAAAAACTTTCGAAACTATAGGGATTACAGATATCGGCCTGTAGTTGTTAGGGTCCGATTTAATGCCCTTTTTAAAAAGTGGAGTCACTTTGGCTGTTTTCCAATCGTTTGGATATATCCCAGTGAGAATAGACTTTGAGAATATTGAGGTAAGAGAGGGTGCGACGATATTAGCAGCCATTTTCAACAATTTACTCGGAATCATATCAAGACCGGTGGCTTTCTTTTCATCAATTTTCGACAAAACGTTAGAAACAATATCAACACTCGGAATTTGCAGAGAAAACGAATGATCAGTGGGCTTTAAATAAGACTCAGGATTAACATCGACAACAGGAATATCTTGTGCTAATACTTGCGCAACGTTTGTAAAGTGATCGTTAATAGTTTCCGCAATGTCCAAAGGGTTACTTGCTATTTTATCATCTACCTTGATCTCCAAAATATTTGTTGACTTACCACTGTTACGTGAAGTTAGCTCGTTGATAACATTCCATGTTTTGCGCAAATTACCTTTGTTGGCTTCCAGGTTGTCAGAAACATAGAGTTTTTTTGCGAGTTTAATTGCGTTATTTGCCTGATTTCTTGCACACCTAAATTGATCCCATATAGCCGGGTTATTGGAGGAGATTGCCTTCTTTTTAAGGAAATCTCGTTTTCGGATTTTGCTCAGTAACTCTCTAGTAATCCATGGAGATCGTTTTTTCCGAATTCTTTTGGATTTAAGTGGTGCGTGTTTATCGACGCAGCCAAGAAACATTTCTTTCCATACATGCCACATTTCATTGGGATCAGAATACAAATGAACATTGGCCCAAGGTAGTTGATTGAGGTCACTTAAGAATTTTCCTCTGTTAAAGTGTTTAAATTGCCGTGTTTCAATCACGCGAGGGCCAATACGGCAGTATTGAGTCTTACGTGACAAAAAAACAAGAGAATGATCACTTATGCCAAACTAAAAGAAAGGTTTTACATGAAAGGATTACTCACCATTGCTTGTAACACGTTTTTACGGCAAGGAAAGTTATTTCCAACTTCTGTTGCGTCGTTTTGGGTCACAAAATCCATAATTTTAAGCCAAAAGGTCAAAAAGACAAACGTACGTTTGCTGAGCGACTGCGCCAGAATCCGGCCGTGAATCGAAATAAAGTCACAACACGTCACTGCGGTCCTTTAGAAGCAAGAGTTACAAGAGTTTTTACTTCAGTCAGGAGGCCAAAAGATTGAAAATTCATCGCAAACTAATGAATCGATTTTGAAAACCTTTCATCACTTCAATCGTTCGTCGGCTGATAATAAACATCGCACAAGATCGTATGACCTTTGGCGTGTGACCGGAAATCGGTCACACGCCTAAGTCACGTTAGTATACTGTCACGAATTTTAATACGATTTTTCACGTTTGCTTGCGACAAAAAATAGACTCATCGAAATAAAATCAGGCCTGCTTTATTTGTTTTTTTTTTTTCAAATTTCTTTTATAGCCTGCAGAACTTGTTCCCCATGCATCGCGCGTGTCTCGCGCCCCAGTCCGCTTCGCAGTGCTAGCGTGAAAAGCGCAAAAAACTGAAATTGACTCCTGTTCTGCAGTTGATTACTTTTATAGACACCTTCTAGGTATTGACAGGCTGTGAAAACAAAGTATTTTTTTATTATTATTTTTTGAAGTGCTACATCATTTTCCTATAAATTTCAAACGTGACTGCTAAAAGACTGTTTGGAACCCATGGATGGAGAAAAGCTGTGCAGGAGAGAAGGTCAACCTCCCAGCCGAGCCAACTTTTGCGAGCGTTTATATGAGGAAAAAACTGAACACTTTGTCCGAGTCAACAGTGCTTGCGTATGCTGTCTTTGTCTAGCCTTGACCGTGTTGTCCCAGCTAGCTGGGCGAGCCAAAGTGGAGAAATATTAGCCGGGCTAGAAGGGTAAGGCCACCACTACCGGCTCAGTGGAGGGCTGACTTCCGGAAGCCCTCAACCCCGCCCACTACTGGTAGTAAGGCGTCTATCCGAACCAACCTTTTGTTTCTCATGTAAATGGTTTACCAAGTTTTGTAAGGAAATGGAGGAAAAGTTGGCTCGCCCAGGGTAGCTTGGGAGGTGAGTAAACACCAGATAACCCCAATAATAAGCACAAACTTTGATTGTCAGTTAGATGTCCACTATTTTAAGTAAGCGACCTGGCATGTGATTGTCGCATCCATGCCCCCTTCCAGATCCCCTTTATTATCGGTAAGCCTCTGATAGGTCAAAGTAATACAGTCGTACCTCCAGTAAGCGACCACCAAAAATGCAAAGACTTAGTGGTCCCTAACGGGAGGTGGTCGTTTAGAAGAATCGGACCACATGGGGTCTATTCCGAGAAGAGGTCCAGGCACATTCTATTAAATGGCGGTGTAACAAATTCCTGGCAAAATATTATCTTTTACCTCTTTTGACAAATACAGCTTTTAAATCATGCTAAATTTAAAGAGGGATTCAGGTGAGTGAGATGTAGAATAGTCTAGAATCACAACAGAACCTTCGCTTTGTTGGCTACATCTACTAAGTTAGGATATGTGTAGTTCCACGATGTCACTAAAGGTCTTCATATTTTCTAAGGAACATAGTGCACACAGCAAAAACGAAGAGCAGAGAATGCGTCAACTGGTCGCTTATGGAAAACAATTAACCTTGACGCCCAAAAAGTGGTCGCAGTCACTTACAGAAGGTGGTCGTTTACTGGGGGTTCCAACTGTAAGGCTTTGACTGGGAAAATTTGGTCTTTTGGCCTTGGCGGTCGCACATGAAGGTTCGACTGTGATAGGTCTATTATAGTATAAGCCACCATCACCTCACTGTGAGTGACGAGAGCCAGGAAAGTATAGTATACACTCCCTTAGGATACACAGTATCGTTGTTATCGTTGTTTTGAGGTCCCGTTTAGCGAAATGGATCATTCAAGGGAGGTGCTGAAGTCCCATAGTGAAATTTATAAGGTTTATGGGTTTTTAGTGCAAGGCGAAACACAATTCTTAGGGCCCTGTTGTTCAAACGTTGGATAGCGCTACCCACCGGAAATCACTCTCAAGCGAATAAGAAGAAGCAATTGCGTTACTTATTGGATATAGATTTATCCAGGGGAAAGCGTTAGTCCCGGGGGCGTTAGTCAACTTTTCAAACATACAGCCTCTCAGTCACTCTCCTCCGCAGACTTACCCTTGGCGACCAGGATAGGGGAATATAATACTCGACCTTCCTTGCATCATCGAGCCTATAGCTTTCACTTTCTTTTGGCTCGTCCTACAATCCTACCCAACGTTCGTGGGACAGGAAAGACTGCGTGCGAGGCTTGGGAATCTAGGGAGACTATGGTAGCATGGTGCAAATAGCCGGGATGAGCTACTTTGTCCACACGAACCAAGAGGATTGGGTCTGCTAGAAGAAATCAGGTGTAGCTTTCTGTGATAAGTAATATTCCAACAGTATAGGATCATAGTTTGAAGCCATTTCACAATCACTAGTTTCCGCGCACCTCTACCGGCGAGGTGTGGACAAAAGCAGCTGATAGCTGTATGCGAACCTTTTTTCCACAAAATGGTTTCTGGGTTTTCGTATTCGACAGTGTCATGTATTGATTTTTCTAATCTTAATGGAGGTCTTTTTTATTATGTACTGTCTATCTGACTGACTGTTTCTTTGTGTTTTTTTTTCTGGTAATAACAGGTTTCATAATTTGGTCGTGGTTGGGGTTATAGGCTCCTGATCGTGAGCAAATAGCGAAAAAATCAACAAGCAAAACCAAAGTAAACTATAGCGTTGAATCCGTTGACCGCGGAGAATTGGTATTATTCTGCAAGTTCTTTACTACAGCAAGAGAGTATACTCCCTTGACTATGGGAAATTGGGCCGGGGGAACTTAGTATTTTGATCCGGCATAGGGGAGGAGGGGAGGGGGAGGGGGTACTCTGGCCAGATTCCAAGTCACGGGGATGATCGAAGTATGTTTTTTTCTTGGTTTGAAAATATTTTGAACAAATTTTTTTTAGCTGTGGCTTTACTTAAGTATTCAAAATATTCGTTCTTTTTTGGTCTTAATTTTCGCTTCCACAGATCACTCAAGACACTTGGAATCCGAGGTACCCCTCCTGTTTAGTGCTTCGAAGGCAAAAAAGCTGTTTCAAAGCCTAGTAGGTAAATAAAAGAAAAATAAATATGCATGGCTGTTTCTACTGCGATGAGAGGATTTCTTGTCAGAAAATGTGAAAACTGTATTAAAATTGCTGACAACAGCTACGAAAATTTCGTGACAGCATGCTGACGTGACTAAAGCGTGTGACCAATTTCCGGTCACACGCCAAAGGTCATACGATCTTGTGCGATGTTTATTATCAGCCGACGAACGATTGAAGTGATGAAAGGTTTTCAAAATCGAAGTCATTAGTTTGCGATGAATTTTTATTCCTTTTGCCTCCTGACTGAAGTAAAAACTCTTGTAACTCTTGCTTCGACGTGTTGTGACTTTATTTCGAATCACGGCCGGATTCGGACGCAGTTGCTGAGCAGACGTACGTTTGTCTTTTGGCTAAAAATTATATATTTTGTGACTCAAAACGACGCAACAGAAGTTGGAAATAACTTTCCTTGCCGTAAAAACGTGTTACAAGCAATGGTGAGTAATCCTTTCATGTAAATCCTTTCTTTTAGTTTGACAACCGTCCGCAAGCCGTCTAATTTGCATAAATTTCCCAATTCAACTGCTCTCACCGCTTGCTTTGGTGTCAGGATGGTATTTGATTTCCAGAGCTAAAACTTTCCAGTAAGTTAGTACAAAACCCAAGGTTCCATTTTGTATTGATTTTATGATCAAGTGGCATATACCAGAGGCCTTTTTTAATAGTCAAAGTTGGCCTTCATTTTCTAGCACGTCTAACGTCACAAATATGACCTCTTTACACTTGTCGATTATAAAAATGTAAAGCATTGTTTATCAAATTTTCTTTTAGGATTTTCAAGAGTAAGAACAAAATAATAATTCGGTGAAGTTTCAATGTCAGGGAATGTTTCTTACGCGTTCACCCTTCTCTCGAAGTTGCCATTGCATCCTGCCGTGTTTTGTGCGAAAAACGAGCATAAAATCGATTTTCCAAACTTTTCCTAATTTCTCCTTTAAAATAAATCGTTTGAACCCAAAACTATTTTTCCTCAAATTAGGTCACTAAAAGGGATGTTTTGGCAAAATAATAAAAAATTCGATTTTTTGACGAGTGTCGTGCGATTCTCGATTTTCTCAGATAATGGCTCTTAAATCATGGGATAGGCTGTTCCACAGCTTAGCTCCGCTATAGGAGAAACGTTTCTTTAAATAATTGGTACGGGGCAGTGGAAGGACTAATTTATTTTCAGTATTCCTCAATCGATAAGAAGTTATTTCGTCACGAGATACAAATTTAGATGTTAGATAGTCGGGAGTCATCCCATGTACGGTTTTATACATCATAATAGCCGTCGATACTTGTCTTTGGTGTTTAAGCTTACGCCAACCCAGTGCCAGGAACAAATCGTCCACATTACAATCAGAATTAGCAGACATTAGAATACGGGCTGCTCGATTTTGGAGCCTCTGCAGCTCATCGGAAAGACCAATGCCGCAGTTGCTCCATACGACATTACAGTAATCAAAATGCGGTTGAATTAAACTGTCGTAAACATTAATTAATACATTAAAAGGAATAAGATGTCGTATTCTTTTAATTGCACCCAAAGCAGAAGCAATCTTTTTACAAATACTCTGTATGTGGCATTCCCAGCTTCAGTTTTGGTCAATATGCACTCCAAGAGATTTTGCCGTTGACACTTGCATCACGGGATGGTCGTTTATCATAAAAGAAGGAGTTTCAGAAAGCTTTGATAGCTTCTTCCTCGACCCAACTAACATAAACTGAGTTTTAGTCAAGTTAAGGGTCAGCTTGTTAGCCGATAGCCATATATACACCTTGTTTAAATCGTCGTTAACGCAGTCATTTATGAGTTTTAAATCTGCGCTGGCATAGGTTAGGCTGGTGTCATCGGCATACATTCTAGGTTGTGAAAAATGCAAGCAATTAATGGTAAATTAATGTTATTTGAATTGATGTGATAGGAACCTGGGTAAGCACCTCGTCGGCCAACATGTAATGCCGCAGGGATAAGTTAATGATGATTCCTGTATGTTTTCTTAGCGGGTTAATTATTCACCAGCTCTAGCCCAACCTCCATTCGGGGGACACCTCTATTCAAGGAACGCTTGCCTCGGTCCGAAGGATGTCTCCTCAATAGAGATTCCATCGTATTCATGCAGCTCAAAATCTTCTCACCTGCGCCATAACTTTTCCAATGGTCGGCTCCTAAAGCGGCGACGAGCATCTGCACTATCCTTATGACTAAAACGTTACGTAGTAGATAAGAGGTAGCTCTCCATAACACCAGTACATGGACAACATTATGTGTTGGCAGTTTGGCAGTAAGAACATTACGCAGGAAGTTTTGTCGAGCTTTTAAATTGGTAAAGTTGCTACAATTTGCGGTTTGGCTCGAATATCCGTAACGCCACAGCGTGGGATAACAGCAAGCAATTTGGCTGGTATGATAAGCAAAAATTTTTAATATTGCCCTCAATAAAGCATTGGATTGTCCCCCAAACATTCCCCCCTCACCCCACCTCAAATTATCACCTTGGACAGTTAACTTGGCCGATGATGTCGCCACGCCAAGAATGTTACTTGCTTTGCACGTATACACTCCGCCATCCCTAGGTGCCACATCTTGAATCATCAGTCTACCGCTTGTTTGCACGATCCTTTTACCTACGGGAAGACTGGAATTTTGCTTTTGCCACGTTACCCGAGGTGTTGGATTTCCTTTGACCTTACACTGCAGTGATGCTATACCAGTTTCGTTTACCACTATGGAGACCGGAGGTACAACAATACAAGGAGCTGAGATGGATTCACTAGGATCGCCCTTGGGTCCTTTAGGGCCCTCAACGCCTTTAGGTCCAGGCGGCCCTTTATCTCCTCGAGTTCCTCTTGGTCCCTGTGGTACCTGGGGCCCGGCTGGTCCATGTTTGCCTGGGAGACCAGGCCTTCCTCGTTTTCCTCTAATTCCCTTTGGAGAATGCGTCTTGCAGAGCAATCTATTCAAGGCCAGCTGAACTTCTCTATTGAAGTCCTCACGAGTGATGATTACACTGGCGTTCGAATTCTTGATTCGATTTTCCGAGTTTCGCTTCTGGCGACTTGTGTTTCTGCAACCGAAAGAAAACTTTGTGTTACAAGTTGTAATTTTTTCATAGTAGCACTATAGCCAACACCAACCGCGTAACAAAATGACAACCTTTATAATGCACGACAGTCTCTATGGATTTGACTCTAAAAGCAGCCAGCTGCTTTTATCCATCGGTATAGAAAATTTTACCTTTGACAACAATTTGACACGAATTGAGACTCGATCTGCCTTCGGTCTTTCTCGTTCTCTGGCTACTGGTTGTTAACAAACTGTTATGTGTTGTTTTTCCATCCTTGATTGAGTATCCATGTTGTTTTGTTTTTCAATTAAATAATATCGAAATACTCAGATTATTGGTCACTTTACAAGACGGATTGAAGACGACATTCAAAAGTGGCGAAAAGTCTTTGATCAAGTTTCAAAAGCAGGAAACTGTCCGTTGCTAGACGCTTGCTTACTTGCTTACTTTTCATGGCAGCCTATATCTCGTTCCTGGGCGTTAGATTACAGCCTATGGCAAAGTCCAGGATTGACCGAGCAGAGAACGCCTATTGGCTTTTACCTTGGGTATCAGTGAATTATCGAGGAGAGCTGGTGCGAAGGGATAGAAAGAAAGATGGGGGGAGGGGGGGGGGGCGTTCCTAAGTCTTCAAAATACAATTCAAATAAAACAGTGTTTAAGTACCCTATTCAAAAGTATTTAAGATATGGTCATTATTTGACGCCTTAAAACTGATTTCAAATGGTCTATTTTAACTCTGTTTGTGATACTCTTAGTGGATGTGTCTCAAAATACATTTTAGATACAGCTCAAAACTGTGTTTTGATAACTACGCTATTTAAAGGTACTTAAAATACGGTCAGCATTGAAGGTCTTACAACAGATTTGAAATAGTATATTTGAACTCTGTTCAAGTGACAATGTTAGTAATTCTTTGCACAAAATAAATTTTAAATACCCTATTTTAATCATATTTATTAAACAAAATACATTGTAAATTGATAAGAGAGCTTCTCCTTTTAATAAAAATAATACAATTTAACTACACTTAAGATCTATTTCAAACATTGGCGAAATTTTAAACGTTTATGTAAAACAGCATTAAATTACAGGAAGGTGGCTTAAAAAAATAGTGTTCAGAATTAGAATCAGTTTTAAAATACATTGGTTTTGTAAGGGTGTTTTTCCTTTCCCTTTTCCCCGGAAAGGTAAAGGGGAGACACCAGTCAGACTCCTTCTCCTCATTTGCTTCAAAATTTCCTCTCAACTAACACCTAAGGAAAGCGTGATACTCAGCTTACAAACCAACGAAATTTTAGTGCTTGCACACCTCTTCACCCCTCCTCCGAAGACGCCTGTATTGAAGGCTAAAAACTTACGAACAATTAACGAATTCGAAGGAAAATGAAATTCTTAGCACACATAACATTATATTGAAGAGCATCTTTTAAAACTACGTGTATGTATGGGAATGGAACGGAAGACTTTTAAATACAACGCCACAACAATCTTTTACTGAAACCGATATTCAAGAAAGTCTTTCCTTGATAAAGCAGTTAACGTTTGAGTTCTCTACCCGGAACCAAATAAAAAAACCTCCCAGTTTTTGATTCTACGGCGCACTTTGTTAGAATGTTTGATTCTTTGATGAAAGGCCTCAACTCAAATACAAGGACCCATAAGTCATTCAGTTTTCGAAACTCTCACAACTCAGCGCGGAAGCAATCGGTTTATTTGCCTAATGAGTATATATTTTCTTCTCCCTGTTGGCTCAAAAATTGAAGCATTCTTCGATGAGCGTAAAGCTCGAACTCGACGTGTACCAGTGCCACCAAACAAAGAGCAAAAGAAAAAACGATTGATGAAAACACCAGAGTGTTGGAGACGGGACGCCTGTATGATGGTTGCATTATCGGATAACACAGATATTAAGGGGTCACGCTCTGGCCCTAGACACAGTCACAATGCCGCTTCCCCAAGACTGCCCGCGTGATAGAAGTTCGACTGTACATGTTTGAGTTGTTTTCGTACATGTTAGAAATAACTTCGTGAAAATTTAACGTTATATATCCTGGGTCATGCACTGTGGGCGCTTTGTCTCAGCATTCACCCATTTTCTTACCTTCACCCGCGTCACTGCTGTGTAAGGACGAAATCGGTTCATCGTGAACAGTTTTACGAGGTCCAAAATTATCCATTCGCTGGTGACTCAAGACTTGAGACATCTGTCGATGAGCGTGAAGTTCGAACTCGACGCGAACCAGTGTCACAGAGCAGACAACAAGGGAGAGAAATATTGAGGAGAACGCTAAATTGTTGGAGACTGGGTGCGTCTTTGATGACTCCATCAATCAGCTTTAGTGTCTTAAACGACATTTTAACGTAACCTGCTCGTACAATTTTGATTCTTTCCGTATAGTGGCTTGGTTTTTTAGACGTGTCATATAAACCTGACCATGTTTCTGCCTTCAGTTTTGGCTATTTTTCAGACCGCTTAAGGGAGGATTAAGCTTTTTCTCAAATGTATCCATTTCCTTAATTCCAAAATCAGCGCGGCGAGGTCTGTTACGCAACCGCATATCACGAGGTTTCAGTCAGTAAGTTTAAATTTCATGGCAATGGTCTCCTAAAATTACACTGAAATTAGTCCTTGGGGGTTAGAGAGAAGAAAGCGCCGGAAAACTCAGGGCACTGAGGTACAAAAGGAAAGGTAAAAGAGTGAGTAAACATTAAGAAAACAAGTCAGAGTCAATTGATGGCAATAGCTCATCTTCAGACCTCTTGCAATTGTCTTACATATCACTATTGTTAGTACGGGAATCTTGATGTTTTGACAAAAAGCTGCAATAAGGTTGCGAAAATCTGCCAATAACTACAATAAAGTATTTACCTACATTACCAGTGCTGCTAAACAACAGTTAAAAGCAATCGGTTTATATGACGGCCACAGTGCGAGTTAATGGTAGGTATTTTTGTCTCTCTGTTACGTTGAGTCTGGGAATTCGATGGGCGTGAAGCATAATCTAGAGGTAAATCAAAATCCCGGGGGGGCTCTCAACGAAGTTATGTACAGGGAAGTTCCGCCCCAAGGTCCGATCTCTTCATTTAGGACACACTGAGGTCAAGAAACGGCCTCTTCTACGCGAATAAATGGGAGTTGTAAACAATCCATTGAGCACAAACCATGCTCAGCTACAGTAAATGGAAAAATGCCGTTTTGAAGTCTTTTCCTGTCTTAAAAAAAGTCAACCCTCAAATTTTGTCGACTTTTAAAAGATCATTCTCTAAAAAACTGGGAAACACAGAGCTCACACATTATCCACTCGCTAGGAGGTGAATATTTTTTAATAGTCCGGGAAATGGAGGGGAGGATGAGGACGTTTTCAACTATTTCATCAGCGGCACGTTTTCTTCCTGGTATTTCAAAACTACAATAATATATGACAGCTGACATTTTCCATTTTAAAGTTTTTTTTTTATTCAGACACCGCTGTCTGGAATATTGCTGTCAATTTTAAACTTGTTCTTGAATCTCCGACCAACTCGACGTATTCCAGAGGGTCGTTTTCCATTCGGACGTTAGTAATCTGCGCTCTATCACCAAAGAGAAGCACGAAAAAAAGGAACTGTTTGTCGGTTTTCACGACAGTTTTCTTTGCCTTTTTAAACTGCATGAATTAACTTTTAAATACCGCAAAAATGTTTAAAGAAATCTCATGCCTGGCCATAACACTTGAGTTTCCCTAGAGTATGATAACCTTCCTCGTCTGAGCCATCAAAATCTGCCAGTCTGATCTGTGACACAGGTAATGCAGACCTGTCCGTCAACAGACCGCTGTCTTCTTTCCAGCCCCTGTTACGATCGTGACAATTACACTTTCTACCTTTTGAGCAGGAGTTGGTAACTCCGCATGCGCACATGTTGACTGATCCACCAGCTCCTCCCCAGTAGTTCATTTTCCTTCCATCACGTGACACCCACCAGGCAATCGACTCCTGTACAAAGCCTACATCACTGCTGCACTCAAACTTGATAAACTGTTCACAGTTTTGTGACACTCGGGTGGCTGCTGTTAGCTGAGCGGTGCTCACTCCATTGTAAGTCACATCTTTACTGTAACAATCAGGGTTATTCCACCCGCATCCAGGGATATTACCGACATATGTTCTACTCTCGCTGTCGTGACTTATGACTGTCACGCCAATTCCTCCCTTGTCAGTCATGTCACAATACACACTGAACGGAGTCACGCCTCCTTTGCCATCAGGGTCAATAACATAATAACCTGAAGAACTTCCACTACGCCCTGATTTAATGCTGCTACAAGACGTGTTCTTTGACACTTCAACAAAAGACGATGCCTTAATTGTTCGTTGATAATTTTTAGCTACACATGTGTAAGTACCGACATCATTTGTGGTCACCTGAGTTAGAAATAAAGTTCCGTTTGGGAAGATAACGTGATTCTGAGGAAGATTTTGGTTTTTTCTCTTCCAAGAAATTTCTATGGATCCCTGGGCTTGGCAATTGAGCATCAAGTTACCTAACTGAGGGACTACAAACTTTATTGGAGGCGTCAGGGTAAATGCGAGCATGTCAATCACAGCTACTAGTGCGACAGCAGAGTCTTCTCCAACGAGATTTTTTGCTGAGCATGCGTATGTCCCACCATCTGCCTTCGTTACACTTACAATGTTCATGTTCCCATCGATCACTGTAGTCTTTTCTTTTGGCACGGTACCTAATGCTTTTCGCCACGTAACCGTTGGCATCGGCACTCCAGTAGCTTTGCATACAAGGGTTACGTTTTCTCCTTCTTCAACGATAGCAGAGGAGGGCTTTTGTGTGATCATGGTAGCAACTGCAAATTAATAAACACGAAAGAGCATATCACCCGATCATTTTGAGCCACGCTTGAGGAGTTTTCTTTGAGTTAACCTTGCAATACAGTAATTTCATACTAGTGAACAAAAAATTTATTTCATTGAATGTAACAAGCGTAAGGCCGTCGCCCCTGTGAATTCTAAGGCTACAGTTTTGTTTTAATGCTGGTTTTCGATAGCGACGGAGTTGGATGTCATACTCGTAATCAGAATCTCACAGCGTCATGATTTTCGACAAGGATTCCGCTTAAGATAGCCGCGATCTTTTCTGGACATCCCCTGGGGCCTAGTAGCATGGGGTGCAAGTAAATATTCTAACAAGTGCATATCCAAGAGATCGACCCAAACCTCTTTCGAAGCTTAAGTGCAATATACTTAATTGCTAGTACTGTAACAGTATTTTAGTTGTTTAGTTGTATGACAGTGAACTAAGACTACTGGGACATTAGGATTGGGAAGTAAATTACCTTGAACAGCTAATGTGGCCGATGAAGTCATGACTCCAAGAATATTTCTGGCCCTACATGTGTACACACCTCCGTCTTGTGATGTCACATTCTGAATCGTCAGTCCACCACGTGATTGTGTAATTCGTTTGTCCAAAGGAAGACTGGAATTTTTTTTCATCCACGTGACCTGAGGTGTTGGATGTCCTTTAAACTCACACTGCAGTGACGCTATATCAGTTTCGTTTACCACCATGGACACCGGAGGTGACACAATAGAAGGAGCTGAGATGGATTCACCAGGATCGCCCTTAGGTCCTTGAGGGCCGTCTTCGCCTTCAGGCCCAGGTAGTCCCTGATCTCCTTGTGCACCCTTGTTACCTTTAGGTCCTTGGGGCCCGCTTGGTCCGGGTGGACCATGCTTACCTGGGGGACCAGGCCTGCCACGTCTTCCCCTAATACCTCTAGGACAATGCATCGTGCAGGCCAGGCTCGATCGTTGTGACTGACAGTTGCACTGGAGTTGTATTTTACATTTTTGTTTTTGCGTTTCTGGCGACTGTGAACTCCTTCAACTACAAGGAAAGAAAGGAAAAAAAACAGTGATGTTTACACTTTGATAATAATAAATAAGGAGGATAATAGCCATTTCTTTGCACGATGGCTACATTATACATTGTACTACTACGACCAGAATCCTTTTCGCTTTCCTTTTCATCATATTTGAACTTGGTAGTCCTAGTGAGGTCTAAATAACAAAAGCCCTCATTTGCACAAGAAAGCAATACCCTCAAGGGCATAGTAGTAAAATTATGTTATCGTGCAAAGTGCCTAATGTCACCCCCAAACGCTCTACTTTGTTGCAGGTTTTTAAGAAATCATTTTCGCTTTTTACTGACGTAATTGATAAGGGGCACCCAATGACCAAATACGTCAGAATTCTCTCAAATGGTTTTCCCTATGCTTCAAAAGCCTCTTTGGTTATTTTGGAGCTGCCGTAAATACTATTTATCTGATCGCATGTCTTCAGTTAGGGGAACTTTGGTCGTCCGCGTTCCTTTGCCTGGGCCTACTATGTCTTTGATATCAAACTCTTTGAGGTTTCCTTTCCCAAGCCTTTTTTGTTGAGAATGTTGTTTACGTTGTTTATGCTGTTAAACGTATCATCATCCGGTCATCAGCATCTCATTGCGCCATGACAAGTTGGGAGTGTTTCTATTGCGTATTAACTTGATGGTAATATGACTATCTCGGATGTGACCTTATGTAACCGACAATCCTTTATCCTTTCAGACAAAGACAATTAAGTCTTTTCGATAGCACAACAGCTGAAACGGATACAAGATCAAAGATTCCCTTAAATTGCGCACTATGAAAAACCAAACTTTTTTCAGTATCAGGAAATAATGTTATATTTTTCAAACTGCTGCGGGTTGCTGAGTTGCTGCTGCTAGTTGCTGGATATTGATACCAAACGTACACCATTCATTGAATGTCTTAAAGACATTGATCATGAGGAGCTATGTCTTCGAATTCGTTAGCAAGTTTTCAACAAATCACATTCGAACTTGGCACTTTTACTAATTTAGGGCGCTCTTTTCATTGGAGTCAATGGACGTTCCCTACCTTGTTCATGTCAAAAGATAAACACAAAACGAGGTCAAATAGCTTCCTACGAAAAAATTTATGCGACGCATCCTCGACGCTATGTCTCAGTCAGTGAATAGTTTATAAAATATAAGAAATGACGCAACCTACCTTCAACAGAGTTTCTGTGAAAGGACGAGGTGATCGGCTCATTTTGAACAGTTTTGCGTGGTTCAATTTTGTCCGCTCTTTGTTGACTTAAGACTTGAAGCATTTGTCGATGAGCATGAAGTTCGACCTCGACGTGAACCAGTGCTACAAAGCAGACAACAAGGGAGAGAAATATTGAGGAAAACGCCAACGTTTTGGAGCCCGGGCGCATCTTCGACGACTCCATGACTCGGTAATTAGTTGCGAATCATTGCCTTAAAATAACTGGGAGATTTAAACCCTGCCAACGAGTAACCGAGCTCGTGTAACTGTTGCTGCTGGCCGAAAAATAGCTTTGACCTGTAAGACGTGACGTGTATTAAAGCCTGACTTTGTTTCCGCCTTTCAATTTAGCTTTTTCCCAGCCCTCTGAGGGAATTTTCCAGAAGCATCTAGTTTGAAATGCCAGTTATTTCGATTTACGCGGCCAGTTCTATTACGCAACCGCAACTGATGAAGCATGCAAAAATGGAACTCAGTTTGCTGAAGAGCGAGGAATTCTTCATTTTTCAACATCAGTAACTGTTTATTATTTAGCTGCATATTATATTTTTTAAAAACAAAAATTGCTAAGGTATCCAAAATTTTACAGACTCATACCAGGCCGTAACATTCAAGCTATCGTATAAAAACCTCTTATTAGCGGAGTTTTCGGTCTGTTGAAAGATGAAGAATTTTCGGTCTGTTGAAAAATGAAGAATTCCTCGCTCTTCAGCAAACTGAGTTCCAATTTTGCATGCTTCATCAGTTGCGGTTGCGTAATAGAACTGGCCGCGTAAATCGAAATAACTGGCATTTCAAACTAGATGCTTCTGGAAAATTAACTCGTGTAAATTTCGTCTGCCTTTCTGCCGTACTCGAACCAAACAATTTTCCGTTTTTTATCAAGGACCTAAATTTTACAACACCTTAAACACCAACATCATCAACGCTTCCTCACCTTTCTCCTTTAAAAGAGCACTTAAGGCATTTATTTGTAATAATTATTAGTATACTCCAACAAAAATCTTGGGAAAAAGCCTTTTAATATTCAAGATTTGTAAACTTCCGTAATATTGATTAGTTTAATTTTCCACCTCATATTATATTGTATCCGTCGCCGTAATTTTTACGCCATCTTCGAAAAATTGTAATTGAGGAGGCCTAATTAACATAAGCTCTATAGTTTCTTTTAGGCCTCCTCGCCATCTCTTCCTTCATTTTTTTTTTTTTTTTTTGGCATCTTTTTGTAATTATTGTAATCGTGTGGCAAATAAATAAAATACCTAAATACCTAAATACTGTAAATTACGGATCCTCGGCGTCAAAAAAGAAAGTTTTTTATTGGCGCACGAAAACAATAGCACATAACAAAGGCTTTCCGAGAAAGTAAAAACAAATTCGCCATGTTGAAAAAGTTTATTCGGTCAAAACTAAGAGCACTTTAAGTTTTAGCTCTTTAATGTAACGCTGGAGTATTTTGGAAACCGGAGACTATGTCTGTCTAGAAGTCGTTTTCATCTTTCCTCCGTTTGTCCTTTTAAAAAAAACACTGCAAAAGGCAAAGAAGCTTTTCAAGCTAAGTTTGTTGTCATTGTCGAAGGATTCGCTCGTTAATTGTTTTTGGAAAAACCTCTCTTTCTGCCAGTTCATTCTCGTCTTCAATTGTGATCTGCGTTAAAATTTTCAAACACTGACTAGCATTCTCTTCCTCGGTAAGGTTACGATTCAGTTTCCACATCAGCTTCGTTCTCATTAAAACAAAGTTAGGTTAAAATTTGGAAAGGCAAAGTCAACATCCCAGTCCTCAGGGTTTACAGTCAAAACTAAGAGCACTGTAAGTATTCACTCGTTAATGTGACGCTGGAGTCTTTTGAAAACTGGACATTGTGTCTGGCTCGAACTCACTTCTATCTTTCTTTCGTTGGTCATTGGAAAAACACTGCAAATGGCAAAGAAGCTTGTCAAGATGATCGGGTGCAGGTATGTTTGTTAACATATTTGTCGAAGGAATTACTCATTTTCTCTTAGGCAAAACATCTCGAATCTCTGCCAGTGGATTTTCGTCTTCTCAACTGTGTACTGCGATAAAATTTTCAAACTGATTAGAATCCTCTTCGATAAAATTACGAGTTAGTTTCTTCATCGCCTTCGTTCACAAATAAACACAATTTAAAATGTTGAAGGAAAAAGTAAAAATCTAAGTCCTCAAGGTTGATAGACGTCTTGTAACTTAATTTCAACCTTTTTTCCGAGGTAAAGATATTTAGAGCTCCGAAATGAGCATTTTCTTTGAAATTTTCGTCCGTATAGCAAGTTACGGACCGCAAATTGACCAATTGCATGGCGAAAACAGACTAAGCCATATAATAATGTATGTTATCCTGGGTAAGTGAAGAGTCTCCCACCAACAACTCGCACTCGGGCTGTTCTTTTCGCATACTGACGCATTATCTGCGATCCACAGCTAACCAAAAAATGAAACTCCTTGTTAGAAAGGAAAGTTTTCTTGGCAAAAGTTAGCTGCATATGATTTAACCGCATAAACCTATCACTTGTCTGAAAAACAAAAATCGGTCTTGTGCCCAAAAATATTTACAGATATCTCATGCCTGCCTGTAACACTTCAGCTTTTTCAATGTATGATATCCCTCCTCATTATTTGAGCCATCAACGTCAACCAGTGTGATCTGAGTCACAGCAGGAGCGAACTTGTCCGTCAGTAGACCGCTGTCCTCTCTCCAACCGCTGCCACAGTTGTAACAATTACACTTTTGACCATTTAACCAAGAGTCTGTTACTCCGCTTGCACACGTGTTGGCTGATCCACCAGTGCCTACCCAGTAATTCATTTTCCTTCCAACACGTGACACCCACCACGCCAGCGAGTCCAGTACAAAGACAACTTCTTTGCACTCAAACTTGATAAATCGTTCACAGTTTTGCGACACTCGAGTGAGTGCTGCTAGCTGAGGGGTGCTGGCTTTAGTGTAAGTTACATATTTACTGTAACACCCGGGAGTAAAACCACATCCAGGAATATTAGCAACATGGGTTCTTCAAGACACTTCAAGAGTTTTTTTGCTATACATGTGTAAGATCCAGCATCATCACCTTCTTGAGAAACAATGTTCCTTTTGGGAAAATTACGGGGTTTGGAGAAAGATTTTTGCTGTTTCTTCTCGAAGTAATTTCTGTGGATCCCTGAGCTTTGCAATTAAGCATCAAGCTACCTAAATCCGGTATTACGACCTTAATTGAAGGTGACAGGATAAATTTGAGCCTGTCCAAAGAAATCCCGTGAAGAAATTTTCAAAACAAAAAAGAAATCCCTTTATTATCTCGGTAACTTCAACTCTCCCCTCCCCCTCCAACCCCCGCCTTCGGACGGGCCTAAAGTCAAACGTTATTGTTTGCGCTCTTCTGATCAGAGTCGCTGATCAGTGTCGTTCAAGTAATAAATAATCAAGCACACAGTGCGTGTGCATAGGAGAGAGCAACCGATCAGTTGAGCGCCACTTTACAGTCAATTCTGCAGCACACCATCTGACTGGCATCCGCCTAGAGAGATGAGACTACAGTGCTCCCCAGGGATAAGGGTGTGTGCAATTGTCAAGCTGCAACTGTCCAAGTGCACGTAGGTTAGCCTCAGTGTCAAAGAGGGCCATAATGTACTTGCGCATCGAAGAACTTATCATGGTTTGGAACTTGCGTAGGTGCCTGCTCTTGTTCTTCTCCGAACTTGTTATAGAAGAACCAGCAACACAAACGAACCTTTTTCTCCCGCGCCCCTGGTCCTTCTTCGCCAGATTCTTTCCTTGCTTTGACACGCGCATAAACATTCCAGATTAGGGCCAATCATAGCCTGTCACCAGTTTTTTTTCTTTTTGGGGGGGGGGGGGGACAAAAGGAGGGGAGGCCTTCTCTCCCCTTCGCGTGTTTCCCTCGCGCGGCTTGTGATTAGACAATTACGGGCTCATGCTACGCAGACTAAGCCAATCAGCGCCCGCTTTATGATTGCTGATTGCTTGAGTTGAAATACAATGATAATAATAATAATAATAATAGTAATAGTTATAGTCAGAAACGCATATAGAGTGTAATACATTTATCGCCAGCTTGCAAACCACGCTTTTGAACCCCGTTCATTGCAGATAAATCAGCGGTGGACTATAGTAGGTATTTTTTATCATAATTTTTACTTGCCTTGTACCTACAATAGTGCAATTGGTGAACAGCTTAAAGTGAGATTTTAAACGCACCTATCCTGCCAGCGGTGTTGCACCGCCCGATACGCACCGGTACTCTGTGCTCATGTATTTGGTACTTGTACCACACTCCCCTAAAACCAGTTCTCCAGATTCGTACCTCATAAATATCGTCGCACGGTAGTGAGTAGATGGGTGCTAACTCGGACCGAGAGATTGGTGTCGCAAGCGAAAGATAAGAAAGTAGCAGGATTTTCTACATGTAATTATAGGCTCTTTGCACGTGATAGGCCATATTAGCGTGTTGCAGAATTATTGCGAAATGCATTAGGTTGTTTCCTAACCTGACAGATCCATCAGGACGGGGGAAAAGTGTTGAACTAATGGCAAACAACAAACAAACAAACGAACAAACAACAAGAAAGAACACGTTATTACTTCGGCGGAGCGCGAAGTAAAGGATTCGCGACGCTCAGGAATGTAGCAAAGTTGACTTTTTTTTGGCAAGATTGGGCACGCAAAGTCTGTAGGTTTTCGATTTTATTCGGGTATTTGACGAAGTGAAAGTCGAATTAGTTCGAGATATCTCGAGATCACTTCGATTCCTTTGATTTATTCTTTAACTTAATCGAGGAAGAAAGAATTATTATTTTGGCTTGCCCTGGGCTTGAACCGACTCACCTGTGCGACCCTTCAGATCAGAGGAGACTCTAAGTTGAGGGATTAGCCGATTGCGCCATTACGACCCAAGGTGAGTTGCCGTGAAAAATAGCTATGAAACTATACACCAGTATCGGAACAAGATTGGGCGCGCTGGTTCGTGACTTTTCGGCTTGTCGGCTATTTCACGAAATGAGACCCGAATTACTTCGAGATATCTTGAGATCACTTTGAGTTTAGTCTTTTATTTACTCGAGTATTAAATGGAGGATATTACATGGCCGTGCAGAGACACGAAATTTCTCTTCGAGTGTAGAAAAACATTTCACGAGTGAGCTCTCCTTTCGAACTGTCTTATGATGAATTTAAAGTCACAAAATGCAGCACGAAGAAGTTTTGTCTTTGTTGAGTGTTACGTAGTAAAGTTGCTGTCATGTGTTCCGTGACCTCCACGTTTTTGGAT